GTACCTTTGCAGCAAATGCAGAATACTAGGGCGCACTGTTTGTCAGCACTCATGCTTGTCAAGGGCGCCTCGTAAGTATGAAGGGGATGATAACTTTCATTGTTCACCTGTGCGCAGGCTTGCAATGTCTTCCTTGTCGCATAGATTATTTACGTGTGTCAGAACAAAACTATTCGTGAGATAAAGATCAGGCTGAGCATTGAGTATTCATCACTTTCGTGTGGTGGTATCTTTGGGAACTAACGCACTAGGAAAATTTGTTTCTCCATTGCGTATCTACTGGGGTAATCGATTAGTTTGTAAGCTATAACTTGCGCTGTGGTTTCTCTTTTACAAATTGACAGATTGTTTCCACTTTTACACCAGGGCATGCAACCTTTGACTTTGACTAACCGAAGGTGAACCTAGGGAATTCGTTGTGACCTTTGACATCGATAGAACATGTACTCAGGTCTGCATGGCTAGTTTCAGCATAATATTAAAGTTGCTATTAACAGTGTAGTAAGACACGTTCTCCCCTAATTTTCGCTTTACTTGGCGTGGCGAACTCAAACATGTGCCGAATCGTAGGAATTTAGCTCAGTTACAAAAATAAAGAGAAAAAAAGATGAGAATAATAATGAAATAATCCCACTCCAGAGCACTGGGTGTGTGGGATTACCATCTCTCAGATCGAGAATCAGTAACGTCTGATCTCCCGATTGCTTGATCTTCCGAACACGTTTGGTAATTGGTCACTAGCTCTTTGATCACTAGGATGTTGTCATAGGAAGTGCCTAAAGGCCAACTCCGGTGTTTTTTTCTTTTTTTTGAGGCCAATTATTCTCAATGAAGTTCAGTGGGTACGCTCGTTTGCGCGTTTGCGCCATTCATGCGAAATTGCAGGCTTGTTAGTTTCTAAGACTCTTTTCAAGCGAATTTGATTGCTTGCCTCCAAACACTCACCACGCTTGCCAGAATTAATGGCACCATTGTGTCCGTGACGCTGATTTCGGCAAACCAAAAGTGGCGGTACTGATGTGCCACCGCAGCGTTTGCTTGTCTGCTATGAATTGTATGGGTTTTGCCGGCACTTCCTTGGTTTAGCATGCGATTTCCTTTTCCGCGTTGGTGGGCGTGCGATAGGTGGCAAGTGGTGTTGCATTGTGGGCCGCACACGATTGTCCATATATTTCTATCTTTCTATCTTTTTTCTTCTATCTCCCCGAAACGTGTTTACCATGCTGCACTCTGCGAAGCAGTTTTTTTTTTTCACCTAACGCTCCCACCTGTACTCGGTAATGACACTTGCGAAACTTCCCCACCTGTGTTTTTCTGCGAACAGCGAAGTTTTTACCGCCGGCCTAAATAAATATGCCGTTAAAAATACAAAAATTTGGGGTACAACGGAAACTCGAAGGCATAAAAAAATTCGTCAGTACGGGGTGCCATGGGAGCTGATGATACGACAAGCGGCTTGTCTTCTTCACTTGCAGCCTCTCCTCACGTCTCTATCCTTACGCCCAGCATTTACGCTATCTGTACATGTTCCTATCGGCACTTTATCAGTGCGGTAAAATGTTTTAGATGTGCTCTCTACTAAAAACGTTTCCTGGTAATGATGAGCGCGTATAATCAGTGTATTCTAGCAACAAATGCCTCTTCATTATGATATCGTGAAGGGCCTTCTGTTAAAAGCTTTATGCACATAAACTACTGGTTTTCCAGTACCGCTGTCTACTACTGCAGGTGGGTAAAAAAAAAAGTGACACGCAGACTTATTTATTTATTTATTTAGGAATACTGCAGAGTCACTTGACTCCAAGCAGGAGTGAACGAAGAAAAAAAGTTCATCAAAAGAACACATCAACAAATAATTATCAACCAAAACATGAAATCAACGCATGAAACACTGCAATTCAAAGAATACAGGGATGCGAGTTGACTTTAAGCATGAGTGGACAAAAAAGAAAAAAAGTACATCAACGGAACACATTACCGAATGATTAACAACCGAAACATGAATCATTGCATGAAACACTGATATTCAAAGAATACAGCGTTGCGTGGACAACTTTACCCAGATGTAGGTCGTTTTCCCTGTTACCCAATGACAAGCACTGCATACATAGTGTCATACCAAGACAAGTGAATGGTTATTAGAGAGTTACCTCAGGTTAAGTCATATATTGAGATTACGTTTCATAGTGTGGACATTTCGCTAAACAGGCTTGATGTTGGTAGCTGAAAAAAACAAACGTGCGTGTTACAAAAAACGCGGAATGAGCTAATCAAACAGAGCTATATTTTGGCGCTATATAATTTTGTTTGGAAAAATACGAGACGTATAGCGACGAGAATGAAGCGAAAGAAACTGTGTAGGTGGTACTTCTTGCATTAGGTGCGTGAATATAGGACAATGCAGATGGCTCTATAGTCGACACGATTACACAACATTTGCAATGACTGCGGATTTTTGGGTTCTTCGGGGCACACTATTCTTTCATTCATTTATCGTTCCTATTATCCTAAAATGATTCATTGATATGTGGGGTTTAACATCTCAAAACCACCATATGATTATGAGAGACGCCGTAGTGCAGGGCTCCGAAAATTTTGAGCACCTGGGGTTCTTCAACGTGCACCCAAAACTGAGCGCACAAGGACTACAGCATTTCCGCCTTCATCGGAAATGCAGCTGCCACAGCAGCGATTAGATCCAGCGAATCCAAAATGCTAGTTACGTTAAAATCTACGGGTATAATTAACTGTGATTTTCTTACATTCGATAATTGTTCGTAGCATGTTAGTACTGTTACTTTAGCAATACGGTGGTTTCTACAGCGAAAGCTGTTATGAGAACGCATCAAGGGTCGCGTGCATCATAGTTTTCCACCGCCGCTGCCAGTGTCTGTAACGACCATTGCGCAAAACCGAAAAAAAATGAATAAATAACCGCCAGGCCTTAGCGGAGTGCGCAGCTCTATCCCAGCGAAATCATGAAGAGCAACGTTTCAGAGCCATTTTTAGCCCTCTTTAGGTATATAGCTGCTGCAAGCACATTTGCAGGGTGCCAACTACGACATCAATGTGGCTACACCATCCTACATTTCGTAATTGTTCAAATGAAGATGCGTTGTAACCGTTGCACACTTACAAGAATCTTTGTGCGTTGTGTGACACCTCGTTTTGCCACGGAAAGAAAGTTGTTCCCACGATTGCACATGGCATCTCTCGCCATTCAAACTACTACGCATACGTTGAACAGAAATATTGGGACACTCCCCCTGTGTACGTGCGATGTCTGCAACACGTGATGAAACATGCGTAAGAAGAGCACACTACGACATTTGCGGACATTGTGAACAAGGCTCTCGTGTGGGGAGCCGAAACGTCTTTTTAAGTTTTGTGTATTTCACCTTGGTCGGCATTTTTGTTATTTTGCGCTATGTTTGTCCCCGACCAGACAGGATTCCATCAGACTCTTGACTATATACACCTCGTTTTCCTTACGTTTGCTGTTCTAAAACATTTTATCACTCATATTACCTCGATATCCTTCTCGAGATCAAGCCAGCCTAAAAATAATTTGCAAAGGAGTCCTAAGCACTGCTGTGGCTCAGTGCTACAATACTGGGCTGGCACGCAGGGCACCAAAGTTCGAAACCCCTTGTCTCCTTCGTGCTTTTTATTTACCGATACTTTTTTCTTCTTTCGTGCGATGGTGGTTATGGATACTGGCGTCGGCTGCGGTGTACAGCTACGGCGCCACACGCGACAATTAATTTGATCTCATAACAGTTTTTGCTGTAAAACACTAAAGACGCAAAGGGGTTCGATTTCGGATCCAGTGCGTACCAGCCCAGTAGTGTGCCGCAGAATCATGCGCGTGCATAAGATGTCGGGAAAGGAATCACGTTAGTATGAGTAATCAAGTGTCTTAGGCTAGAAAAGAAAGAACCCGACATCGCACAATTTAAATTGCGTAACGAGTGGGTTGTCGAGTGTTCCAACCGTCAACGAAAGCTTGTTTTTATTGAGGCATAATTCTTTATCGTCATCAGCCGCATGCATCATCAAACAAATGAACAAAATTTCGTTGCAAGTGTGAAGCAGGTACTAGGCTTCTCTGAAGAATGACGAAAGATATAGTGAATGTCCTCTTATTACGCAACAATTTGGATTCGTGGTGCAGTAGGTAAAGTTGAAGTGTGCTTATAGCAGTTAATGAAAGAGTGCTTGAAAAGACTGTAAATTCGCTCTTCCAGCATCCGCCGAGACTGTGCTGCAAGTTCCGCGTATGCCTGGTGGTTTTTATGAGCTCTCGCCTTTTATCTTGGCCGTTGCCGAGTCGCTGTCCTACGACATCATTCAGTGTGTGTGTCATGCTTTAAAACTTTTACATTGACCGACAATCTGGTTATGACATTGCACGTAATTCGAAATATTCCGATTTCTATAACATTGTATTGGATAAGCGAACACCACTTGCTCATTGTGGAATTTTCGGCAGTAGACAAACTTGATTATAACAGTGAAAATTTTAATAAGAAGGCTCGCCAGTGAAAACAGCGGATTAATTCAAGTAGTGGCACATTTCCTTCCTGTCAGAAGATGAAAAGATTTTATTCACGGGCAAAAAGTACACACTTGGCGCAAATCAAAAACACGTAAGCACAGAAAAAAATCATGCTGAACGCTCAAATGGTACTGCGGGTCAGTACAACCCTATTGCTTACTTTGAAGTGGGAAATTGGGTCGTACGAGTCCTCTTCGCGGATAGGTTTGCTTATCTGAAGTCATACTCACGTAAGTAAGTGAATTAAGAGCCTACCACAAAGGAAGCTTTTTCTAGAACGGATGTCATTATTACGTTACCTTGCCAATTGCATCCTTTGTCGAAGGTATTGCTGGTAAGACAGACGAATTGGCAATAACCACAGATAGCACCCAGTGAGGATATACGAATGCCCACAAAGAAGGAGCAGTATGCGCTGTAAGAACAATGCCCGCTGTAACAGAGATAAGAGCCATTCATTCTTGCTGACGCCATGTGCACTTTATCTAGGCCCACAATCGATATTCACTGACGGCTTTAGCACATAGTTGTACGCCTACAAGGATGTCGTAATTTACTTTATAGTCTGTCATACCACGAAAGGGGAGGATTTGATATTCTGTGGAACATATTGCTAGTACAAGTGGAGCGCCAACCATCAAAGTACCATGGTAATATCGCTTGTCGTCGGCATGGGAAGGGAACTTGCTCTCCTGCTCACTTTGTGTGGCCTGGCTCTCGCGCAAGAAAACAACGGTAAGCCCCTCATTTATACTGATCACTGCTCTTTCTTGTGTGACAGACCATACGCTTTGGTGGCGAAAGCTATGCATGTCGGGGATTAGGTTAAGCTCAGACGTATCTGTAGCTACAGTGCTATATAATGTTCAGTACAATATTTCAATATACCATTCAAATTAGTAAAAAGTGACACATATTTGGCAAACACGCTACCTAGGTATGGGACTGTGTAAGGCAAAATAAATTTAAGGCTAGGAATGATGAAACATGAGGCACAATGTGGCCGAAGTGCATTTCTTCTGTTAGACTCTACGCTGAAAAACGGAGAGAAATCCGCAACGCTCAATTGGCGTGGAGGGTTGAGGTCTCGGATCTTTTGGTACGCATTATAACTGGATCAATATTTTGAAAAAGTATTCTCTCCTATTTAGTGTTACGGAACCCATTTAATAACAACATTGGTAGTCTATTATGATAGAAAATACGTATATATATATATATATATATATATATATATATATATATATATATATATATATATATATATATATATATATATATATATATATATATATATATATATATATATATATATATATATACATATATATGAGTTGATAATAGGTTGTCACCATAACGACAAAATAAGCCACCCTAAGCGGTGTGCGTGTTTTTGTCGATTGTAGTATAGCGAATGCGTCCTTGAAATAATTAATACAGTAAACTTGATGGGTGCCAGCAAGTTTAGTGGGTGCCTATAGATCAGTTGGCGAAAGAAAAAAAAAAAGTCTTGAGAACAAGTGCTGTGTTTTATATGGCGGATGAGGGGGTGAGTACAGTGTGATTTGTCGGATGTTTTTGTCAACACTATGGCGAAATTGTGACAAGAAAAAATTAAAATTATATTAAGAAGAAAAGTTGATAAAATGTCATTTCCTACTCTCTGAGTTTTTCAACGACCTAAATTATTCGGTGGTAACCATTTCAGTATGTACCCTGTATTAAAACTACTTTAAGGCAAAATTATAAAGAAAGTGCACTTTTTGTTACACCACTAGGGCTACAAAATAGGTTGAGAGATGAAGCTTGAGTCACCAATTAACCATATCCTTCAGCGCTATTCAGCAAACTGGACAAAGGCACCCACTGAATGCCCGGCAAAACACTTGGTTCTTATGATCCAGGGAACTCAGAATGGCAACTAGTATATTTCGCTTCTTACTGACTGCTAAGGAGTGCTCGTTCACATCTAATAGGTGATTACTAGTACATTTTATAAATCGAACTTGTCTTTTACTACGTGTGTGAGCATAGATTTAGGATAAACAAGTTTCAGTATTATGGTACAGCTTCGTTTCCTCCCTCAAGAATTGTTTTCTTTAGCTAATTCTGACGAGAACGTCGAAAGGCTATAGTCAACGTCTGGGTAATAAAGTTATATGCAATGTCGTGCACGTACTCTTCATTCCGAACAGAATCTTGCCCCACATTTTTTCAAGATCATGTTAATAGGTCGGGCCTTTGATCAGGGAACCACAATATGAATATCAAAAACGCAGCGTTTAGAGCAAATAAAAAACTAATGTTGCATCTTTAGAATTTGTGATGCAATGTTTTGAAACAACCAACACCAAATAAAGTGGCATGTGGTAAAAGGACAGATATTCGCGCCTGGAAGCAATGATTCAATGTACAAGTTTTGTAGTACTCATTTCCTGAACAATTAAACACTTTTTCAGCACGCAAGTGGCGACACCGTGTGATATTGTTTAGGTATGTGTCGGCCTGAAAAATAAACTAAAGTATAGTTTATAATGAGCCGAAAACAGAATTTATACCGATAGCATTGGCAGTACTGGTTCCACACCGATAAGGTATATTGGCGATAACCGGACACCTAGGCTGTGATGCGCGCCCCGCCGTGGTGGTCTAGAGGTTCAGGTACTTGGCTGCTGACCCACGGGTCGCAGGTTCAAATCCCGGCTGCGGCGGCTGCATTTCCGATGGAGGCGAAAATGTTGTAGGCCCGTGTGCTCAGATTTGGGTGCCCGTTAAAGAACCCCTGGTGGTCAAAATTTCTGGAGCCCTCCACTACGGCGTCTCCCATAATCATATGGTGGTTTTCGGACGTGAAACCCCACATATCAATCAATCAATAGGCTGTGATGTGTAGTGACCGCATGAATAATTGTAACGTTGTCTGCGAGATGTCACAAATAATTTGAAAAAAAAAGTATGTCTTACGAACAATTCACTGACGTCATCTTTTAACTGAATAAGGGTGCGCACTCAGACAAGCACACCTAAACAGAAAATTGCACAGACCAAGAGCGTCTGTTTTAGTGTCCGTGTCTGTGTGGGCGCCCTTATTCAGTTTAAAGATGAACCAATACCAACACGCCCATCTATTCATGCTACGGCAATTCACTGAAGAATTAAAGGCCGACAATGCTCCAACTATTAATTCCTTCATGGACTAAAGAGTACCAGCAAAATACAGGAAATAATAATTGAAACCACAGAATGGCTTCTAGCACCCAAATTATTTGTTTGATTGTTTGTTCACTTGTTCCTTTCAAGAGGATTTACGCTGAGTTAAATTGCATAGAACAGTTGAAAGGTACTGCCTTTGTGTGTAGCGATGCATTCAAATTTATACAAGCTTGTTATTATCTAGTGGGTGACCACGTGCTGGCATTCCTTACGAAATTTAAATACTTTCACTTTTCCCACACTTGCCGATTTGTGTCCCCGTAATGCAAAACGCTTTAAGTTAAGGACGTGAATATGTAGGCCATGGCAAGCGCTCATCCGTACTGTCGCAGTCTTAGCGTTCTAAAGAAAACCAATTGGGCAGGCGAACTAACAAAAAAATAACGAATATTATAGCGTCCACTTCTCTCTACCTGTGTTAAAAAACAAGCCAAGTCACAAACAAACACAAAAAGTAGAGAGCATTGCGCTTGCCCGGCTTAACGCCCGTTTTCGTAAAGTTTGTGCATATACAGGATACAGAGCCAATTGAATATGTTAAGTTGAGTGATGGCCAAACTAGGGGAGTGGCCCTGCAAGCGTGCCGCTTCTTTATTCTGGCCATGGTTGAGCGTAGTGACAGTTGCGTGACGCGTTTATGGTTCTATAAGAGAGCTGAGCTAAATTACGAACTCACCAAAAGGTACGTGTTGCCCTAGCGAACACTCAGTTTACCTTCGTTCCACTCATTACTTTATATTTTAGAATTCTTGCTTATGTCCTTCGATACAGCCCGATAAGATCTCCTACGCTTTCTGTTTTTTTTTTCGTTTTACACATTTTCTTCTTCTTCTGTATCTGACTTATTTGTTACTACTAGTCTCAGGTCAACCTATCTGTCATATTGCTTAGTTACCCAGCATCAAAGTAAATGAAGATAGTATCATGACATTGGTTCTGCAGCCAAATGCGGAGCCCCTTCGATACCCCCGATGCTTGACCCTGAGGATCGTATTTATGGGGGCTACTCGGCTTTGCCCGGTAGCTGGCCCTGGCAGGCAGGCGTTTACACCCATCGATATCAGCACTTCTGCGGTGGAGCCCTTATCAACGACAGATACATCCTCACTGCGGCGCACTGCGTCTGGTAAGTGCTGGGGTTAAGCGTGTCGCTATTCATTCTGAGTAACCACAAATTAATAAACAACTCACATTGCTTACAGGTACAGGCCAAATGTTCTGTTCAATGAGGAAAATGTTTAGCACTTAGATTCCTTTTTTTTTTAATTGGAGCACCACGTATGCTTCCAGCTTCGAGCTATTCGACCGACAGAGATCTGTCGAAGTTTTCGAAAGGTTAAGCGATGCCTCATATCACATTTGGTCATATATTTACCGGTGGCACTACCTAACTACTAGATAATGATACCAGCAATTAGAAGTACTATATACCAGCTGATCGCGCAACCATCATGAGTGCAGTGTTTTGTTGCAGTGACATGGACATTGATTGTTTGTCATCATCTTTGAGAGCTTGATCTTTATTGCTAATGGGGAATGAATTAGTCAATCTTATATCAATGCAGTGGTAAACTAAATTTCAGCAGAGACGAGCAGAACACTTCATTGAAGAAACCTTGTGCATCTGGCTATCCTCCTGACGTAGCTCGCAGCACCGCAAAATAATTCGCACAGCGTCCCGGGCAGAATACAAAATTAAAAGAGTCAACAATCCCTGCATGATGCTAGTTCTTCTTTTATTGAAAATTATGATACACATATGTAATAGCTAATGTTTGTACGATTCTCTAGAACAAAAACGCTGTAGGCCCGTCTGATCCTATATGGCTGCATTTCAAAAAACCCCTGGCGGTTGAAATTTTTGGCGCCCTCCGCTACAGCGTGTTTCATATTTTATAGTAGCTTTGGGTCGTCAAAACCCCCCATATTATTTAAAGAACAACTATAACTACTTATGAACGAATATTCAAGCCACGGAGAAGTGTGTGCTGCAGTTTAGAGCCCAAAACTCTAACTTAATGTCCAGGAACGCACACACAAGAACCCAGGAATGATGGATAATGTAGGTACTATAATTTACTCACGCAAGATGTAATTACCCATAATTTGAATCAAGTACCGCTTTGGTAAGAAAAAAAAAACCTCCAAGCATGTTTTTAACACGCCGAAGTGTCACAACGGAAAGTGGAGAGAGAGCTTTTCTCGAGCCCGCTCCTAATTCGTACGGGCGAGTATTACAAGCTGATGTGCAAGGTTATCACTACAGCATAAATTGTCAAAATTTTTCGTATTAAAGCCTATAACGCCACTATACATCATTAAATGAAGAATCGACCTACTCGCTTACGAAATTATGTGCACTCCATTGGTGCTGTGGCAGAAGGTGAATGGTTAAGGTTGAGTCCTTTATAATACGTAGGATATTTTAAACTACCCACTGATTGCGCACTGCGCGTTGCGCAAACTTTGGTTCCTGTTCTACGCTTTTACCATGCTATACTGCAACTGTTACGCTATTTTTTTCCGGGACTGACTCCTTTGTGAGGTCGTTTCACAAAGAAGTTGCAAGCACCGGCATGGTGTTTTTATCTACGCAACTGCTATAGAGACTGACAAAGTTCAAATCCACTCGAATCAGGATTTTTTTCTCATTGTGTGCCATAGCGATTACGGATACTGACGGTGGTGGTTGCAGACAATTGTGCCACCAAAATAGACTGCTGAGATCTTACAAAGTTTTTCTTTAGAAAACGTAAACGTTTATTCGATCTTTTGTGCATCATAGTTGTGAAATTGTTCTGCTAGTAATATGAAGATTTGCAAAAAAAACAACAAATAGCATACAGCGAAATTCAGAAGGTTTCAGGAGCACAATGCGTTAGATGAGACTGTGATTTATTGATAAAAGAGGTCGTATATTTTGAAGCGTGATACAATCACCTTATCATGGTTTGAAGATTATTGGTATAGCACGGGCTTCTACTCTTTCTATACTTGGGTGAAGATTGTCCATCCTGACAATAAACAGCATGTAGTTTGTCTTACGCAACACTTTAGGGTACTTACAATATTTTTTCAGTTATTTCCTAAGTGTAAACAGATATACAAGCAATACACTTGTCTGAATTTACAATGATAGCACAATATTTGTAGTTTTGTACACTCTTTCTAATACTTTTTAATTAGGAAAACCTGCCAGTTTTATGATTTTCAAGAAATATTTATCTAAATACGTGTCGTATAGATTATGCCAAAAACATTAATACTTCATGAATATTCACCTTGACACATTCATCACATCACTTTGCAGGTTATCGTATCCCTTACCAAAGTGTTCTTGCCTCTCGATGAGATTCTCGCCTTGTAACATTGCCAAATAGGGTCTCTTTGTTTCCTAGTGGTTGTTTACGCTTTCCCTTTACTTTTCTCGAACTGAAATATAGCATGTGCAAATAACTACGAAGGGCTAATACTTACACCTTGAGGCAATACTTGCAAACGGTGGTTGCAATTCATGTTGACATCGATAACGCTGTTAGTGACGACAACGTAGTTTCGAAGCGGTTTGTCCTCATTTTGTGCTTATAAGCAGAGACAGATGGTACCACTACCACTGATAACACCGTTTTTTTTGGTGCACTTCCCCCACGCCCTCAGTGGGAGATTTGTCATCTGGGAGGACACTCACGAGACGCGATAGAGCCGATAAAATAACAATGGCGCACGACATCGGTGTGGTGAAGGCAGTCGATTGCTGCCGATGGTACGCATTCAAGTTGGCTTAGCTGATGCACAATAGAACTTTACCAAATAGTGCAAGAATAGAGAAAACGTAATTCGTCGCAGTCTGTTCCATCCTTGAGCAGTGACGAAGCCCTTCTATCACAGGTGGTATAGAAACTTAAAGGCAGAAAGCTACGTTTGCTATTGCAACCACGGTGCATGGGTTAGCTGTATATGTGAAAAAAATGGGCGCTGTTCGCTGCCAAGAAGCGCCAATAAATGACTCATTCCTTAAAGGTAAGCCTTGAAACATGCGGGAAGGCGCGGTCATTTATTCTTCATGGCAAGCTTTCATCATCAATAACTGGTCCAATGGCGAGCTGCCAACTGCATACTGCGTCTTGCGTAAGAGAAAAATTTCGGCAGATACCACGCACTTGGCAAACGACGTTATGCGAAGCATGCGGAAGGAAGATGACCGGGCTGCAATTTTGTTAATTGGCGACACGTCATATATATGTACAAATGTACATATATGTACAAATGTATATGTACAATTATATGTACAAATGTTGCACGCACAGACATATGTTGAGGAGTTGCAGATGTTTATATAACCAGTTGTTTTGCACTTGCGCAACGATGCCAACCAGAAGATGCGTATTAGCAACACCAGACCCTGGTATGAAGCACTGATCCTATCAAGGATCATGGCCCTCGACACTGCTACATATATCAATTTCAGCGCATGGCAACTAACCACAATTGACGTATTGACGTTAACCCGACGTGACGGTTGCATCAAATGAGTGCATATGTAATCTTTATAAAATTGGGCAGGCAGCACTGCAACACTATTTACGTTTCACGAAGATTAGAGTCTATTTGATAAGCAGCTCCAAGACCTGGCCTAGGTCTGCGGCAAAATGCTTCATTACCACGCAGAATTCTTGGGGTCGATTCCAGTTGTGACCCTGACTTTTATTTTTACATTCGTCAGGTCGACGCTACCAATGTCATTTAATTCTTGACGCTCACACGTAAAGATTGCCCATGTGTGTTCTCGTCGTTCCTGAGTAGATCATTATCATCATCATCATCATCATCATCATCATCATCATCATCATCATCATCATCATCATCATCAGCCTGACTACGTCCACTGCAGGACAAAGGCCTCTCCCATGTTCCGCCAGTTGACCCGGTCCTGTGCTTGCTGCTGCCAATTTATACCCGCAAACTTCTTAATCTCATCTGCCCACCTAACCTTCTGTCTCCCCCTAACCCGCTTCCCTTCTCTAGGAATCCAGTTAGTTACCCTTAATGACCAGTGGTTATCCTGTCTACGCGCTACATGCCCGGCCCACGTCCATTTCCTCTTCTTTATTTCAACTATGATATCCTTAACTCCCGTTTGTCCCCTAATCCAGTCTGCTCTCTTCTTGTCCCTTAAGGTTACACCTACCATTTTTCTTTCCATTGCTCGCTGCGTCGTCCTCAATTTAAGCTGAACTCTCTGTGTTAGTCTCCAGGTTTCTGCTCCGTTGCTAAGTACTGGCAAGATACAGCTGTTATATACCTTCCTCTTGAGGGATAGTGGCAATCTACCTGTCATAATTTGAGAGTGCTTGCCGAATGTGCTCCACCCCATTCTTATTCTTCTAGTTACTCCAATCTCGTGGTTCGGCTCTGCGGTTATTACCTGCCCTAAGTAGACATAGTCTTTTACAACTTCAAGTGCACTATTACCTATCTCGAAGCGCTGCTCCTTTCCGAGGTTGTTGTACATTACTTTCGTTTTCTGCAGATTAATTTTAAGACCCACCTTTCTGCTCTCCCTGTTCAACTCCGTAATCATGAGTTGCAATTCGTCCCCTGAGTTACTCAGCAATGCAATGTCATCGGCGAAGCGCAGGTTACTAAGGTATTCTCTATTAACTCTTATCCCTAACTGCTCCCATTCTAGGCTTCTGAAAACCTCCTGTAAGCACGCGGTAAATAGCATTGGGGAGATAGTGTCCCCCTACCTTACACCCTTCTTGATTGGTATTCTCTTGCTTTCTTTATGAAGCACTATGGTAGCAGTTGATCCCCTGTAGATTTCTTCCAGAATGTTTATATATACTTCATCTACGCCCTGATTCCGCAGTGTCTGCACGACGGCTGATATTTCTACTGAATCAAACGCCTTCTCGTAGTCTATGAAGGCTATGTATAGTGGTTGGTTATACTCTGAGGATTTCTCTATTACCTGGTTGATAGTATGAATGTGGTCAATTGTTGAGTAGCCTGTTCGAAATCCTGCTTGTTCCTTTGGTTGATTGAATTCTAATGTTTTCTTTACTCTGTTAGCAGTTACCTTTGTAAATAGCTTGTATACTACAGAGAGCAAGCTGATCGGCCTGTAATTCTTCAAGTCCTTGTCATCTCCTTTCTTGTGTATTAAGATACTAAGTGTATCTTAGTAGATACTAAGTGTCAATCACTAGGGGCACATACCCGCATATCAGTAGCACATACCCGCCCATATATAGGTATGTGCCACTGTTTGGCGAGAAGTGTTTGACGACGTACGCAATGGGAGTGTGACATTATTCATGTCTTGACCCATGCGTCATATTCGTCAAGGCATCTTACTCTCTCTTGCTAATTTTGGTTCACGCCAATTTATGGGGGTGACCACGAGAGCACTCAAACAAAAGTGGATAGATAGATAGATAGATAGATAGATAGATAGATAGATAGATAGATAGATAGATAGATAGATAGATAGATAGATAGATAGATAGATAGATAGATAGATACGCTCAATGTCACCGAAGTTCGATAAAAAAAATGCTTCACACTTAACCCACATGACTTGCTCCTAATTTATGCTTCGCATGGTGGGTTTGATGAGACTAAGAACATTTCTGAACAGTTATTTTTGTTGTCTTCTTCGTCTTTTCTTGCCAACACTCTTGTTGCGAACTACAGGTTTGAAAAAATTGCATTTATTTGTGCAGATAAATTTTTTGTTAGATTGCCTAAATATTCAGACTATACTACGATGTTCTTTTATTCCGTTCAAAATATTGGAACACTTGCGCGCTGCTTGGAAATTGCTGAAGCCTTTCCTGCTTTGTTTCTGACCTTCGGTAGTCTGTACTAATAGTTAAGCAGTAATACTAAGATTGTCTGTAGTTGTACTTTTTAATTTTTCTTATGATTATAACTTTCTTGTGATTATTAGACATGGCGTAGTGATGCACTGACCAACCTCAATATCTTTCTCTGCACTTCATGAACATCGCATAGTATACGAGTCCATAGCATATGGCTTCCACTAAAATGCGACTGGCACACCCACGATAAATTTTTGGACCTTCTCTTCGGAAGCCGAGAACACTGATCTTTCAACTACCGGGCCAAACTGTCTCATAGTAAGAGACTTTCTTTTTTTTTTGGACTCCGACAATGGATGTGCGTAAGAAGACAAAAAAAAACGTAAGCATTTTCAACTTCTGACTGAAGGGGAAATCTGTGCGGGTTACTAAAACAATTGCATCTATATATAAATATATGTCATCATCATCATCATGAGCCTGACTACGTACACTGCAGGACAAGGGCCTCTCCCATTTCCACCAGACAACTTGGTCCTGTGCTTGCTGCGGCCACTTTACACCCGCAAACTTCCTAATCTCATCTGCTAACCTAACTTTCTGTCTACCCCTGACCCGCTTGCCTTCTCTGGGATTCCAGTCACTAACTCTTATTGATCACCACTTACCCTGCCTACGCGCTACATGCCTGGCCTATGTCCATTTCCTCTTCATCATTTTACCTATGATATGCTTAAGCCCGGTTTGTTCCCTGATACAATTTGCTCTGTTTCTGCCTCTTAAGGTTACACCTATCAATTTCCTTTCCATCGCTTGCTGCGTCGTCTTCAATTTAAGGTGAACCTTCTTTGTAAGTCTCCAAGTTTCTGCTCCATAGGTAAGTACCGGCAAGATGCAGCTGCTATATACCTTCCTCTTGAGGGATGAAGGCAGTCTGCCTGTCATAATTGGAGAGTTCTTGCGAAATGTGCTCCACGCCATTCTTATTTCTTTAGTTACTTTAATCTTGTTGTACGGCCCCACAGTTATGCTTCTCCTAAGTCGAAGTTGTCTTTTACAACTTCAAGTGCACCATTACCCATCTCGAAGCGCTGTTCTCTTTCGAGGTTGCTGTACATTACTTTTGTTTTTTTGTAGAATAATTTCAAGACCTACCTTTCTGCTATTCTTATCCAAATCCGTAATCAAGACTTGCGATTCGTCCCCTGAGTTATTCAGCAATGCAATATGATCGGCGAAGAGCAGGTTACTAAGGTACTCTCCATTAACCCTTCTTTCTAACTTTTCCCACTCTAGGCCCCTCAAAACCTTCTATAAGCACGTGGTAAATACCATTGGCGAGATCATATCCCCCTGCCTAAAAATTTTAATGTACAAAACTTTTAAAGAACAGCTTAACTTTATCAATAGGTTAATTCCTCCGATGGCGTTCGTTTGGCAGCGTTGGTGCGCTCTGATGTATCCTTTGAGTGTATTAAGTATTTGGCATGCTGGCGAAGCGGATCTCATGTGCCACATTTAAAGGAAATCATGGTAGACATGCTCTCCGCCAAGGGCCACAATCATCACATCTGCTTAGAAAAAAAAAGCAATGGCTCTTTTATTGAACTCGTTGAAGTAACCTACGTAAGCTGTAATTAGGAATATCTGGTACTAAATTAAGTAAAATTTAGCTCCTATATCATATTTACATGTCTAATGGAACACCACCTAGCTTGAACAAGAGTCATCATAACTGTACCACTTTTAGTTTTCCAATCACAGTTGCCGAATATAAAGAAAATAAAAGTGTTCAACCATTGAGCTTAGACAAAAGATATATGCGTCACTTGTCCATGCCAATATTGAATTTGGTGGCCGGTGCTGAAAGCATAACCAAGGCCAACATGCTGCGAAGTCTCGTGCTTTATACAATAGGCTTCAAGTCCACGCCTGCATAGTTTGAGTATACAGTGAATATGACGGCACCATCCAAAATCTTCATAACACCAGAACGCATGCAAAATTACCACGCGACAAAAGAAAGCTGGCGTACAATTCATTTATGTTTTTCAGGTCCGGAGAGGAACAGGAAAAAGAAAGTAATGATACTCAAGGGAAGTTTTGAATGCTGGCAAATATAGCAATATTCTTGAGTATGGTGCCCGTACACTGTCTTTAATTAATCAACCAGGTGTGCTGTGAGCAACGACAGCAGCCTCTCGTCAATTTAGTTAAGCTTTTTCCCACCACAGGTTAGTACTGCGGCGAAAGTAACAAGAGAAGTGTTTTGACGTGGTAGATCAAAGCCACTTTTCAGAACTATGGTCCTATGTTACAATATTGTTATCGCGGAAGTGCTGGAGATGTTTTTGGGGAGGTTTACGGTCATGCCTGGACAAGTGCGACACCAGCAGTGGCCTATGTATGTGCGGCCTAACTCAATCGCCAAGAGCGGGTTCAAATCCCGGCTACAGCGGCGGAATTTCCGATGGAGGCGGAAATGAAGGAGGCCTGTGTGCTCAGATTTGGGTGCACGTTAAAGAACCCCAGGTGGTCTAAACTTCCGGAGCCCTCCACTACGGCGTCTCTCATAATCATATGGTGGTTTTGGGACGTTAAACCCCACATATCAATCAATCAATCGACAAGAGTTCAAGACGATCCTCGCCTTCTTTCGGTCCTCGTCCACTTTTCATAGGATATCTGATACATGAGCCAGGCACGTCTTAACACAGTACAACGGCAGCATCCCACGCTGACGTGCTAGAATAAAAGAAAAAGAAGCAGAATGGTACTGGTGCCCTTTGTAACCTAATCGCCAAGCCAAACGGATGCATAATAGACCCTCAGAGACATTCACAATCTTGCAGCCTGGGACGCGTCTCTGAAGGTTTATTTTGAGTGAGAAAAGTATTGCGCTACATCGTGATTCTGACGATTTGGTGGTGCAGCACGCATGCTGGCGCTTGCGTTCCCGCATTTGCACATTCTCGGCGTGTCTTCCGCGACATTGTGGTCAGAAACTCTTCGCACCTGAGTGGAGCGTAATTTCATATCAAACCTTTCCGGGTGAAAATCTGTTCACAACACTCGTACTCCATTCCAGTGTAGACCAAAAGGCCTGGACCGATACCGGATAAAAATTCTTGTCATCCCGAACTTCATATGGGCTGTGATTGTGTCACCGAGGTTTCACTGCAAATGAAACACATTATTAGGTAGCAGCGGCTACGTAAATGATCTAGCTTAGAACAACTACTCTGAAGGCTTGTTCACATGCTTCATATTGAAGAAATAGAAGCTCTTTGTCGACATCACCTAATGTCGAGATCCTATGCCACTCGTTTTTATATTTGGTTGTGCAAAAAAATACCGCATGACAAGCGTTTATATGCTCCAATTGTAGGTTCAATGGGCCTTCCTTTAACCACAAGAATGCAGTGCCTCCAAAACGAATTGCACGCACATTTTAAGATTTCTGGTGACATTTTTAGCACGTCAACTAAAACCTTTAAAAAAGAGATCTGAGGTTTTCAGCATTAATTAATATCTACATGGCTTATGTGACTATTCACACGTCACATGAAAGCCTCGTGGTTAACATATTGCTTTCGTCAGCTCGAAGAGTCGGGCATGATTTGCAGTGACATCGACTGAAATATAAGCGTGCGAAACAAAGTCCCATTAGTGTGTGCACTCATAGGGCACGCTGACGATCTGCATGGACTCAAAAATACATTGCGGTCTGCTAAAACTGCCTGCCTAGAGATATCGCCGATTTCATACGCGAAAATTCGGAATTAGATATCTGATACACATCACACTCCTCTTCCAGGTCGAGGACGTCTACAAGTGTGAGGGTTCACTTGGGCGCGTACGCACGGCGAGCCTTAGACAATACCGAAGTGATATACAAAGTGGAGGAGGTGTGCGCCCACCCGAATTACAAACCAAGTAAGGTGAGCTTTCCTTTATTTTCTAACCTACAATTTGTTCGAAGATGCTACAGTGGTTCCATTTGCCTGTCTTTAATCCTGCCGACAAATGTGTAAAGTAACCGAAACGATGTGTGTGGCAGGATTCGAAAGCAGAGTAGTGTGATCTACAGCGGCGCAGTTACACCTCATAATCCACAATATGTTTCCTGGACATCTTGGTAAAGTAATGGGAATTCAGGATTGAACCAGAAACCGTTGTGGTTCTTTTCAATAAACGTATAAAAGGTTAGGTTTTAGCATGCTTTATGCGCCATGAGCAGTAGCCGGCTTTCAGGGAGCTTAGAACAAGCAAAAATGCCAACTCGTTAAAATTACCACGAAGAACAACATTTAAAAAGGGAGGCGCACCTCATAACTTTGACGTGTGCTTGAGGCAACCACTCCCGAATATACAACACTAAGCTTGGACACTGCCAGTATTCCACTTTCAATATTGTTTCTTGAGTAGTTTGTGCGTGATTGACAAAAACGTGGTTTACGTTGCTACTGAAAGAGTGGAGCATATATCTTGTGATTCCCAAGCAAACATGAGAGCCCCCCCCCCCCCCCCCCGCACGCAGCATTCTTTTTTTCCACGATGCACTTTGTTGACTGTTTAAACTGTAAAGAATACATTACACCCAATGAGTATTTTGTAACAGGTGGACATTTACCCTGTACATTATGAATTGTTGAATATAAAAGTCGCTGTACTTGTTTACCATCGCTTGTTGAATTTATAGAACGCCTGCTTACGCGGAAGGAATCATTATTAGAAAAAAATTGGCCCCGTATCTGCATGGTATATTGCAAATGTCGTCGAAAGACGATAGTCTTGCGTCTGAAGAGAGAGAACAAAAGGTTTATTTGATGTTCTAAGCAAGAAAATCGATGAATGGTATTTTGAAGGCGCTGCGTCGGAGTCTCTCGAACGTGCAGCGGAGGCGAACGAGCGCATCAAGTCACGTCACACGTGAAGCATGAGCGCTATCTGGCAGTTATCTTGGAAAACAAAGCGTGCGCGGCATGCGCGTTCATGTCGAAGGTGATAACGTATAGAACGAAAGGCGACGGGTGGGTGCCGCTACCATGTCGTCTTAGCAAAGCGTTGGAAACACTCGTCTTTTCGTGCAAGCGTTGCATCGTCAGCGCAACGTGATAAGCACTCCGGTCCTTAGAGTTACTTATGTATGCATCTTCTAGAAAAGAGGCACACATGCACGATATTGACGTGTTGTTATAGCGCCTCAGATATGTACAATAATTGCTTATTAATTGATAATCGCACAAGTATAAACGCTGAATCTTGAGCAATATTGGTGGGCGCTGTGGATTGGGTCGGCGGTTTGGGTTATCGTTACGTTCCGTTTAAACTTCGGGTTATCGTAATGGGTAGATAAATAGATAAATAGACAGACAGACCAAAATTTTTCGTTGGAGGTCCCCAAGAAAATACTATCATTTTTAAAAGCGTGTAATATGGCTTATGCTGTCGAGGCCAGCAAATTAATCTGTATCGCTCGGTGACTTTGGTTCTGAATAACATATAAAGTATTCAATTTAGGCTGCAAATTGACGTATCAGTGGTGCAGCTTCGTCGGTAATTTTTAGGTACTTACGAGTGACATTTTTTGCTCTATTGTCTCATACTTTCGAATTTTATGATACTGAACCATAAATAGAGCTTTATTCAAACTTATTTGACTGATTGAAAAATTTTTTTCTCCTGACCTTTGAAACATTGCCCAATAGGACATCATGTATTGATTTCAGAAATATCAACCCATACTTACCCGGCCACCTGGGTCTTTTGTCTCATTCTCCTTTGTAATAGCGCAACTCGTCCGATATTGCTATCATCAAACTGCGTGACCCTGTGACCTTCACAAGGACCATATCTCCAGTGTGCCTCCCCCGTCACAAGGAAGAACTCCCACTAGGATCAAAATACTACGTCACCGGATGGGGCTCTACAACAAGTGAGGCACAGCGTTATCATAGCGAGACATATTTTGTAAATATTTCTATACGTACGGCGTGTTTTTCAGGAAGAACATTTCAGGTAACTGTGACCCGCATTTAAAATTTGCGTTTGTCTTACCAGAATGCTAACCTTTGTTTGGGTCACTCTCTGTCTGGGCAGAGAGTGACCCAAACATTGTAATTGTATTTCATTCTAAATTTAACAAAATGTGGAGTAAAATACGCAATCAATTTCTAAAGCCCCCAATTATCAGTTAAACCTTCATGGATGAAATTGTGGAAACTGCTTGTTGGTAGGTATCCCAATACCTTTGTTTCTTTAAAAATGGGTGCTGTAGCATGTAACACTGAGCCTAATGGCGTAGTTTATTATAGCTTACAGCGCGAACTACGTGAATGATGAAAAAACGATAAATTTGAACTCCCACTTATTGGAAGAAAATAGCAAAATAAACACACGATGCGCGTCTTTCTGCCAACCTGGCCCCGGTCTGCTGTATCCATAAATCCCCAACAACCAGCAATACAGACGTAATACTGCATTCTTGACCTGTTGAACTTTTATTATATGAGCGGCTACGTGTTGCCTGTCCCTACAAAATACATTAGTTGACCTCCTCGCCTGTCCTTCCTTTTTTCCTTCTTATCCCTAGTACTCTGCGAAACTTTGCATGATCACCACAGATGAAAAACATATACACCAAATTTATGCAAAAGAGTTGGCATGGAACTACAGAAGACCCCTATCCACAATTTTAAAAACACTCTTGGTGTCTTTTAGATTGTGACTAAGAGTTAGATTATGGTTATGAGATATGTTCTCAGCAACACGAGAACATGCTTCATCATGCAAAGTTGACGTGTTGAATCTTTGTTACTTACACGCCTACTTCTCACCTGCCAAATTACACTGTGATGAAACGGACCGGCTAAGCCGCTAAAATTACTCATTGCAAAATTTGCCCACACAATCTCACCTAACATTTTTCACAGTGTTTCAAAAATACGTTTGCTTTAATACAAGGTTATTGACACTCACAATCAGAACAATTCAAACAATTCATACAAAGGCTCTACTGCACAAAGTACTTCGAGGACCTGTGATTTTATCATAACACGGCTCAATATTACTGCAGCGATCGTGATCTCACCTGTCCACTGACAGTTGCATGTGAAAGGGAGTGAGTGAATAGCGTACTGGGTGCAATAAACAAGCTTAAGACAATGTGTGATACTGCAGTGTTGGCCAGGTCAACTTAGTTCATTGGATAGAAGCCTCCCACTTGCCAAATGAATGTTCTATAGTTTGCTCAAAAGCAGAGATATGATGCTGAACTTAGGAAAGAGCTTCAATAAGCTATGTGAAAAAAAAATGGGCATACGTGAGGAAGACTGAAAGTCTGAAATCGTCATCACCAATAAAAATTTGCGAGAGCCACCCCTTGATTTCTCGAAGCAGCTTATCACAAAAAAATGAGTCGGTTGTAATATAGATTTTCCCCTAGTTTTCACATGATTTAGAACTCTCGGATGCGTGACGAGGACAAATCTTGTTGAGGCAAGTCTAAGCAACGGAAGCTTCAGCACTAAATTTTAACAGTGTACATTGTACTGACTCAAAATGAAGAAGACATGTTTTTGGCATTTTTAATACGTGCGACTTACTTTATCAGCCGTGAAAGGCGACTTATCATTTAGGATCTTCTACTCCTACTTTTAGCAACTGCAAAGTTAAGTCAAAGAGCTTGTCTCCATTCGTTAAAAACCTTTAAAAGTCAACAGTGGGTGCATAGAAAATATTGTCACGAGCGGTTGCAATGCACGGCGCATACAGCGCGAATGAACATTCAGACAAAAGGTGAAGAAGGAAGACGACGTTGGGTGTGCTGTCTCGAGACCCCTTGTGGAAGTAAACACGAACCATCCAGGCTCGCCTGTTTTTCAACCTTTTCGTGTACTTCTTGCGTGTAACATTTGGTGGAGCTGTGCTGGGTACCTCCCACGACCTACGACGGAGCCGTCAGCACCAGAACTTCGTAGAAGCCGTCGCCTTGCCGGACTTTCGCCATCGCGCCCCGACATGTCTCTGGAGCAAAATGACCCCCTCAGCAATGCCTCGGCAAGACCACCGCTGTATCAGCATTACCGAGAGCCACGGCCGTTCTCAGCAAAGCCAGGGGAAGACTTCGATGAATGGCTGACCCATTACGAAAGGGTAAGCCAATGCAACAACTGGAACCCGGCCAGCCAGCTCAGGCATGTCGTTTTTTATTTGACGGACACGGCCCTGGTTTGGTATGAAAACCACGCCGACACGCTTACTACATGGAGCAGTCTTATTGAAGAAATGAAGAAGTGCTTTAGCGACTCGGACACTAAGAAGAAACGAGCGGAAACAGCTTTAGCTCAGAGAGCTCAGGTGATCGGCGAGACTTGCACGACATATATTGAAGAAGTTCTCAAGCTGTGTAAGACCATCGACTCTCGAATGTCCGAGGAAGATAAAGTGGGACACCTTTTAAAAGGTATTGCGGAAGACGTCTATAACTTCCTCATTGGAAAAGACAACCTGAACACCGTATCAGACGTGATTCGGCACTGCCGCACATTCGAGGCGCTGAAAACTCGCCGAATCACGCCGAAGTTTGGACGGCTAGCCAATGTCACGACTGTGGCCAGCGTTGACGCGAGTCCGCAGACAGACCTCTCAGCTACCATTCGGCAGATTGTCCGTGAGGAGCTCCTGCGGCACGAAGAACAAACGCGTTATGCGGTGCCGCGTTGCGCCTCCGTCGCTTTCCGAGACGCCGTCTGCGCATCTCCTCCGGCTACTTGGCAGCATTCGGTGAATGCTGCGGATTGTAACAGCTACCGACACGACCCGCATTATGGCCAGACCGAACAACGCCATTACGACTCGATTGATCGGCGTTTTGATCAGCATCCACGCGACGTTCGCCCACGAAGACCCAGCACTGCCTACGACATCCAAGGGGAGGGGATGAGTTACTCTCAGCCTGTGGCCGCTGTGGAATATTTCAATCAGCGTCCGGAAGTTCGCCCTCTGCCCGTGTGTTACAACTGTGGCACGCCTGGCCACATAGCTAGGTATTGTAACCGACGTCGGGCATTCAGCAATGGACAGTCGGGATCGTTTATGCAACACGGTGGTCGTGCAATGGACACTAATAGGCCAGGAAACACCACTTTTGAAGGCTACTTCCGAGAAGAAAGAAGCCGTCACTTCCCTCTGGACAGCTATTCTGGAGAACAAGAAAGGTATCGAAACCGTTACCGCTCTCCTGCCTCCGAACGTACTCTGACACCACCACCAGCTTTCCGAGCGTCTCGATCTCCATCTCCCAGACGGCGTGTGACGTCATCATCTCCTCGACGCCGCTTCGCGTCACCACCGCCGGGAAACTAGCCAGCGCGGCCGATGGAGGTGAGGTCGCTGGAAAATCTTTGCTGCCGACTCGGATACCTCCACCTATCTTCATGCTGAAGAATAAGGTTAATGTACTTATTGATGGCGTTTCTACCATGGCTTTAGTCGACACGGGAGCAACTGTTTCTGTCATGAGTGTGGTGTTCAAAAATCTGCTGGGACGCAAGGTTATGTTTCATTGGGACCACAGCACAAGCTTTCGTGGAGTGAGTGGGGACTCATTATACCCGGTTGGTGTGTGTAACGTGGATGTCTCCTTGGGTGGTCAAACCTTTAACACTGAGTTTACCGTGCTTCCGCGTTCCACACACGATGTAATTCTCGGCATTGACTTTTTGAAATTGTGTGGCGCCAATGTTGACTGCCGAACAGGAGAACTCAGTATTTGCGGAAGTGTGTCCTCTGCGCTCTTAGAAGAATCATCCCAGCAAGAGAGTGTGTTTTGTGTTTCTGAAGACACTGTTGTGCCCGCTTTATCCGCGATGCGCGTTCCTGTTGTTTGTTCGTCTTCTGTTAGTACTTCGTTCGATGTTGCGGTGGAACCGGTCCATAGAAACTGTCTTAAGAAAAATGTGTTGGTTCCGTATTGTATGGTTTCAGTTACCGATGGATGCGCAGGGCTATGGACGCTAAATTGCTCCACTGAAGCCGTAGTGCTGTCTCAAGGCCTAAAACTTGCTACGTTTCAGGGAGAGTCATTTATACCTATGGCAGTGCTTACAGAACTACCGGATACAGCACAAACCAGTGTCTCGCACACCGCAAACGAACACATGCTCGGAATGGTAGCTACATCGCTCAGTGACCATGAACGTCGTGTTTTGATGGCCCTGCTCTCGAAACACTCTTCAATATTCGACTTTGCACAGCACGACGGCCCCACATCGATTCCTGCATCCCGTACTCGCCATCGCATCAACACAGGATCCGCTGAACCGATTCGTCAAAAACCATATCGTGTGTCCTCTGCGGAGCGAAAGATCATCAGCGCTCAAGTCGAAGAAATGATGGGTAAAGGAGTAATTCGGGAATCGTCTAGCCCTTGGGCAGCTCCAGTGATACTGGTGAAGAAGAAAGACGGCACGTGGCGATTCTGTGTCGATTACCGTCGCCTAAATGCCGTTACTAGGAAAGACGTATACCCACTCCCACGAATTGACGACGCCATCGATTGCCTCTTTGCGGCTTCTTACTTCTCTTCTGTGGATTTACGATCAGGTTACTGGCAAATCCCTATGCACCCGGATGACAGAGAGAAGACCGCTTTTGTAACGCCCGATGGACTATTTGAATTCAACGTGATGCCTTTCGGGCTTTGTAACGCCCCCGCAACGTTTGAAAGGTTCATGGACACTATACTTCGCGGTTTGAAGTGGGAAGTTTGTATGTGCTACCTAGACGACGTTGTGATCTTCGGCCGAACATTTCGTGAGCATAACGAGCGCCTGGACTTGGTACTGAACTGCTTGAGGAAGGCCGGCCTTGTGCTTAATTCTAAAAAGTGCCATTTTGGTGAACGACAGACACTTGTGCTGGGACACCTGATCGACAAAGAAGGTATACGACCAGATCCACAAAAGACAACAGCTGTGGAGGCATTCGAGGCACCTCGCTCTGTGAAGCAGCTACGAAGTTTTTTAGGGTTATGCTCCTACTTTCGCCGTTTCATTCCCAAATTTGCTGACATAGCTCATCCGCTCACATGCCTTCTCCAAAAAGGTGTTCCTTTCGAGTGGAGCTCGGAATGCGACTCATCGTTTCGGCAGCTAAAGCTACTGTTGACGTCCCAGCCTATTCTTCGCCACTTCAATCCGTCATCACCGACAGAAGTTCATACCGATGCTAGTGGTGTTGGCATTGGCGCCGTACTAGTTCAGCGTGTCGGCGACAGCGAGCATGTGATATCGTACGCTAGCCGCTCATTGAGTCGCCCCGAGCGCAACTACACTGTCACCGAACAAGAGTGTCTGGCGGTCGTCTTCGCTGTGCAACGGTTTCGATCGTATCTCTACGGGCGCCCCTTTACTGTCGTCACGGATCATCACTCTCTATGCTGGCTTGTGAATCTTCGGGATCCCTCTGGTCGACTAGCACGCTGGGCGCTCCGTCTGCAGGAGTATGATTTCGTTGTTTCCTACAAGAGCGGCCGGCGACACGCTGATGCTGATTGTCTCTCTCGCCTGCCACTCCCAACGACTGAATGTGACGCGGACAACTTTGATGAATACATCGCTTTTGTGTCCACGGGATTTCCGGACATGGATACCTTCATATCAGAGCAGAGGAAAGACGACAGCTTACAGCCGCTATTCGCGGCCGCGCGGGAGTCCGCTGCAGACAATCGTTTTCGCTTACGTGACGGCGCCCTATATAAGACGAACTTCTCGGCTACCGGTGCGCGCTACCTTTTGGTTGTCCCCAAGAGCCTTCGCAGTCACGTATTATCTGCCATGCACGACGAACCAACTTCCGGACATCTTGGATGCACAAGAACACTCTACCGTGCTCAGGAACGCTTTTATTGGCCCCGGATGCGCAATGATACCGAACGGTACGTCGCCAGCTGCACCCAATGTCAGCGTTACAAGCGACCAACTGACGCGCCGTCTGGTCGCCTTCAGCCTGTTTCGCCTCCTAGCACCCCCTTTGAGCAAGTTGGTATAGATCTTCTGGGCCCTTTTCCGCGATCCACAGACGGCAATCGTTGGGTCATCGTTTGCGTAGACCACTTAACCCGTTATTGTGAGACGGCAGCACTGCCGTCGGCCACAGCAAAAGACGTTTCCATCTTCTTGCTGTTTCAAGTTATCCTCAGACACGGACCTCCTCGCATCGTAATCAGCGACCGTGGGCGGCAATTTACCGCGGATGTTGTCGAAGAGACCCTTCGTCTGTGCTCATCAAGCTTCCGCCATTCCGCTCCATACCATCCACAGACTAATGGTCTAGTGGAACGCACGAACCGAACGCTTGCCAACATGCTGTCCATGTACATCGACTCCGCGCACAAAAACTGGGACACAATTTTGCCTTTCATCACCTATGCTTTCAACACCGCAAGACATGAGACCACTGGTTACTCACCTTTCTTTCTCCTTTATGCTCGTCCACCACGCTATAATCTTGACACTATGCTTCCCTACTCTGCTCATCACAGTGAGCCGATCAACGAGATTCTCTGTAGAGCAGAAGAAGCGCGACGCCTCGCTCGGCTACGCACCGTCACCTCGCAAGACCGGTCAAAGATCCGCTATGACGACCGTCACCGACATGTTCACTTCAATCCTGGAGATCAGGTGTGGCTCTGGACGCCTTTACGGAAACGTGGCCTGTACCAGAAATTTCTCGCTCACTATGTCGGGCCCTACGTTATCCTCGAACGCCTCAGTGAGGTCAACTACCGCATAGCACGGCTCACAAGCACTGGACGGCGCTCGGCTAAAACAGAAGTGGCGCACGTCGCTCGCATGAAGCTATGCAATGCACGAACCACTGAGTGACTCGCCCGGCGGGCTTCGTCTGCCAACGGGGAAATGTCACGAGCGGTTGCAATGCACGGCGCATACAGCGCGAATGAACATTCAGACAAAAGGTGAAGAAGGAAGACGACGTTGGGTGTGCTGTCTCGAGACCCCTTGTGGAAGTAAACACGAACCATCCAGGCTCGCCTGTTTTTCAACCTTTTCGTGTACTTCTTGCGTGTAACAATATCCTTTTTGTGCGAATACGCGTAAAGGATAATGTTCCCTGCGAAATTACCCAGATTACATTTATTGTGATGGCCAGCCAAATTTCAAAACTTGTTCCGCCGTACATGAGTGACTAAAAAGAAGATAAGCAAGAAAAGAGAAGCAATAGTAAGCTACAAACCTCATTATTATATTTGTCAGTGAAGCCTGCGCCTTCCCTTGGTATGCATTACTTAACAAATGTCTCTATACTCTGTTTAAGAAGTTCCCATCAACACTGTAGAGGCTACAGGGCTCCTCAGCCAATAAGAGGGGCGATTAACCCCTCCTTATGTATTAAGCCGCCTCATGTCTGCTCGCCGGATCGTTTACACATACTCATTTCAGATAAGGCTCGTTTATAAATGAAGATACAATAAAACTGTTGATTAAGCAGTCAAACCAGAAACTCGAAGCGTGGATATGTTGCTTTATAGAATATCAGTAGATGCTTATGCTGGCGGATATCTTCACCTCGTGGTGTTTCTCTCCGATAATTTTTCTGGCTCCGTGGACGCGTTCGTTCGCCTATCTCCCTGCAGTGCTTGTTTACTCTCTCTTTTTTTAGTTTTCATTGAAGGGGGATTCGACGCGCACAAAATTCTGTGCTATGTTGCATTTCCGTTGTAGATGCGGCATCCTTGGTTTGGCGACGCAGCCCAAGCACAGCCTCGGTGCGTTAGTTTTAGCAGGTGCGGCTAAGCAAGCATCATATCACGCCAACAACGACGACTAAACGTACCGCATGTTTTATTCTTAGAGTAAGATGAAGGAAATTGACAGCTGATTTCACCATTCGCTTGTAGCAAGAGCAAGTTCAGATTGAAGCGGGTGGTCGCTTCTGCATGGATGCTGTCATGTTGATTTTTAAACGCAGGTACCGCCGGAAAGTGCAAAAAAATTTCATGGGTACGATCTAAATGCGATGAATAAATGTATCACATATTGATATAGTATAACACACCAAACAAACGCCCTTTTATGTAATCCCGTTAAATGTTAAGGCATTTATTATATCTAGGACTATGTTTTGCTGAGAAAGTGTCTGGTTTTCTTACACCCCGTAGCTTTGGCAGTGCTGAATCATAGCGGGAAACACAATATAGTGGTTATAAGTTTTTAGGTATGCTTAAACAAAACATACTTCTCAGCCATCGGGATTATGGCCGTTGAAGAATTACATGACGCACTTATAGTTCGAAACAGTTAGAGGGTGTCCAATTTCTTCCAGAAAGATGGTCTTCAAAAATGGCCTATTAGTTTAAATTTAGAACTTAAAATTTTGACTGCTTAATTTGTCCACAAGGTTTTATTAAGCTATTTTGACAGCATGCCAACCCTAATTTATACATGAAACTTGGGCATTCAAGCAAACAAAACTCAGCTTACCATTCACACTTTCATTTTGTCTACTAACACAGGAGGAAAATTCATTGAAAAGTCGAGGGAGCTGAAGCAAGCCATAACTGAAGAGCTTCCTCAAAATGAGTCGGCATGTTCCATGATGATGCCCGAACTCCTCTGTGGAAGTCACGACTACGGATCATCTTGCTTCGTGAGTGTTTTCGTATTTAGTTACCGTAGCGACCAATGTTTACGTGGTTGCTATCGCAAGAACAATACTTATGATTATGATTTTAGCGATATCTGCGTATATCGGCATTGTATGTTCGTAAGATAAATTTAGTAAGAGCATCACCATATTTTCAGTGCATGCACTAATTGACACGTGGCAGTTGAGGGCTAAGTAACACACACAATTTTCTCTGAACTGCCCTCAGATTGGGTCGAATAGTGTAATTGCGCTTGAATGCGTATATACGGTGCAACATTACATTTACAAGCGGTGTGATTAGCCACAACATACAACATAACATATTTTTTGAGATATTGCACCTTCTCATCTTATAGTAAAAACAAAAACTTGATGTCCCGTTTCAATTCATTAGTGTCTTATATCAAACGTCAATGCTGTTACCCTCAATGCATAAAGCATTCTTCACATCTTTTTTGTTACGCTGCAAAGCAAAAAAAGTTATGCAAGTACGCAGAGCTGCAGCCCCACTTTGTAGTTTTTAATATTCAGAATAAAAACTGGCCCTATGTTTCGGGGCACATTCGTTCTTTTCTGCAGAGACCTACTCTCTGGCCGACACCCTGGCCAAAGTCAGGGTGGTTTAAGCTTGTAGCTTTATCATCTTGACTCCGAGGCTTCTTGATAGTTGTCTGTTTCTCCATCGTCGTTTTCCCGTCGTCTTTTTGCTGTGCTGTATTGTCCATTGCTCTTAGAAAAAAACGGCACTGTATCTGCATGCATCACTGCAAATGTCATCGAATCTTGCGTCTGGAGAGAATGAACAAAAAGTTTATTCATTGTTCTGCACGTGAAAATCGGTGAATTGTATTCTGAAGCCGCTGCGTTAGAGAGTATTGATCCGTGCAGCGAAGGCGAATGAGTGCATCAAGGCACGTGAGACACGAGCGCTATCTGGCAGTTATCTTCAAAAACGAAGGACGGCGTGCGTGCCTGTCCCGGAGGCAATAAGGTGTAGAACGCAAAGCGACGGGCAAGTGCCACCACCGTGTCGTCTTAGCAAAGTGTTGGAAACACTTGCCCTTTTGATCATCGCGTTGCATTGTCAGCGCAGCCTGATAAACGCTAGTGTCCTTAGAATTACTTATGTGTGCCTTCTTTAGTATATTGACACACATACAAAACATCAATGTGTTCGTATGGTGCCTCCGATATTCACAATACTTGCTTTTAATTAGAAATCGCACAAGTACGAACGCTGAAACTTGAGCTATATTGGTTGGCGCTGCGGATGTGGTTGACTGCTTGGGGTATCGCTTGGTACCGTTTGGGGTGTCGTTATGGCAGACAAACAGATAAATGCATAAACAGACAGACAGACAGACAGACAGACAGACAGACAGACAGACAGACAGGCAGACAGACAGACAGACAGACAGACAGACAGACAGACAGACAGACAGACAGACAGACAGACAGACAGACAGACAGACAGACAGACAGACAGACAGACAGACAGACAGGCAGGCAAGCGGGCAGGCAGGCAGGCAGGCAGGCAGGCAAGCAGGCAGGCAGGCAGGCAGGCAGGCAGGCAGGCAGGCCAAAATTTTTGCGTCGACGTACCCCAAGAAAGACTATCCTCGTCAAAAACTAACGCGTCATTAAAAACAGAACTAATAGCAAAAGCAACGCCACAAGAACGGAGGGAAGGATGACAATGAGGTGGAACACAAGCACTAAGAAAAGCCATTAGCTTCGCAGCCGGTCGGACAGTCACCCCATGAAGAAAAGACCGAATTGTTCTCGAAATGTAGAGCCAAACTTGTAATTTTATGTTAACATTAAAATATGCAGACTGAATATTGTTGAGAGTCTGTTCATATAATATTTTACCCACCCAGGGGAATCTCTGACAATAATGATTACCTTTGAAACAATGGAAGGCAAACTTTTTTCGGCCTGTGTATTTATTACAATGCTGTGATTAAACAATGCAAGCTGCTCAGAAGCACCCGTTTGCATTGCTATGTCTACTGAAAGGGACACCAAGGACAATTTAAAAGATCCAAAAAATATTTTTCAACATTCAAGACACATAGCAAACACTTCTGCTGCATTGATTGAAGGAGCAAGAAAAAAAGAAGGTCTAAATAGTAAAAAAAAGAAAGAGATATAAAAACAGTGTTAATAAACACGTGAAAAAAATAAAGAGACCAGGACAAAAGCAAGGAGGGGAAGAATTAAATTATTGAAGATAGACAGAAACAAAGAAATCCGCCTAGTAGCACGCTGGTTTCACCCTCAGTGCAATTTTAGAACGAAGCCAGCTGAATTTTCGCCTTGTTTTTTAATCTTTTTGCAGGGTGACAGTGGCGGACCCCTAGTACACCGAAAAGATGGGATCTGGACACTGTACGGCCTTGTGACCTCCGGCCCATACACGTGCGGCGATGCATCGGACTATCCACTTATCTTTGCCAGGGTTTCTCACTACATGGATAACTTTATTGCTCCATACATGGATCCAAAGACTCCGAGGAAAGAGATTAGGCGAATCTGCACTATAACATGATGTTCTCTGTAGTCGCCACGATGCAGTGCTTCCTAAAATAAATGAGTGTCAATGCGCCTAAATTGAAATAATAACGGTTTTTGCAGAGGGCATCGATGATGCTGACAACGAGAAATGATCACCTTGTTCATGTTCCTAATAGGTGAAGGAATAATAACCTTCTTAATTTATTTACAGATGCAGCACGAAAGATTTTAAGCTTCTCTCATTGTAGACGAGCACGAAAAACAAATAATTTTAAAGTTGAGTTGCTTCGCTCTTTATATATGAAAAAGCACTATTAACAAACCTGATATGAAATTTCTCCTTAAATATTGTACGAAAAACAATACTATGAATACGTGGCACACCGTTGTGAAAGGTGGCGAAAATTTTGACCACCCTGGGTTGGCCATTCAACATGTTGACAGCACAGGCATATAGTATCCTGCACCCATTAAATTTTGATCGCCGCAGTCAATATTGAATTGGCTAGCTTTTGGGTCAACAGCAGAAAACCGTAACCACCGTAGTATCGCGGAGATGAAACCATCTTGTAGAGCGATTTCAGCCTGATGTGGACGTCTGGTCACAATAAAGTAAAAATGAACCACACCAGGTATGAGCATGTCTGCATGAGTAGCATTGCGCCTCCCACTGTAGGAACCAAATGAACAACCTCCGACGTACAGCGAATGTGCCCCATCAACAGTTGTGCTACTGCTGATCCTATTCCCCCACACATATTGGATGATTTATGGTTACATAACAAAATAATTAGCAGATCGCACGTAGCTTGAGTGCCGACGTTGTGCGAACCTTAGAGATAGAAGGTGACCGAGTTCTAACTTTTTATTGAGGGGCACGTTATGAAATGACGCTACATACATGTTCCATTGTGAGAAGCACAGACATATGCTTAACAGTCGTAGATGTTTATATAGTAGGTTGCTTGCACAAGCGCAACAATGGCAACAGAGACACTATTATTAGAAACACTAGAAGCGATAAGCCGATATGAAGCGCTGGTGCTCGCGAGGATGGTAGCCATGGACGACGTATTCAACTCTGCTAAATAATTCAGCTTCAGCTCAAGGCACCTACCTTTAATAAATGATAGCCCTACGTGACGGCTGTATCATAAGAGTATATACGCAATGCTTGAAAAATTTGATAGTCAACATTCAAGTGGGAAGAGACGTTTTACAAACGTTAAGATCTATTTAAAAAGTGGTTCTGAGACCTGGCGTTGCTCTGTGGTGAAATGCTTCATTGCCATTGCCTGGCGTATTCTTTGCATTCGTGGGGTCATCGCAGCTCATGTCGGTTTCTTTCTTTATGCTCAGGCGTTGAAAGTACAAATGGTGTTCTCGTGGTTACTGGGTAAATAATAATTGCCGACCGCCTGTAGCATATACCCGCATACCAGTGGCCCATACCCGCCGAAGGGTATGTGTAATTACCTGGTGAAAAGTGTTTGATGAGGTGCGAGACGGAATTGTGACATCATTTATGTCTTGTCCTGCGCGTCATATTTGTCAAATCATCTCATCCTCCAATACTAATTTTAGTTCACGCAAAGTTAAGAGGGGGATCACGAGAACACTCAGACGCAAGCGGTTAGACAGAAAGATATATGGATATGTAGATATACACAAACAGTGTTTGAAGCACGCAAGGAAAAGCTTCGCTTTTAATAGTATTAACCTCGAGTACCAAAGAGCATCAGATCAACTTTTTAATACCCATAGGGAGCAGCCGACAGTCGTAAGGTGAAAGCTTCATACGCCTGATGAGTAAGAAATTCCCCAGAATTTGAATGGAATAAGAATGTTAAAAAAATACCGCTTTTGCTTGGGCTAACTCGAGAGGTAACTAATACTTGCGTCTAGAAGCAAAACAAAAAGCATGAAAGAGATGACTCTTTGGTGCATTCAACAGAAAAAGGAGTTGGCTAAATAAATGTTCTGCCTTCCGAAGTTTGAAAAAAACGCGTATTTTTCAAACACTGTGTCAAATGCTGGTATTCTGCACTAACACGCATGGCGCGTGGAACTTGTTTATGTTACACCCTTTTTCACAGCGACATCATTCGTTTTTAACTATATGGCGCCAATATCGACCACCGCATGGTGGTGCACTCTTTCATGGCACAATCAACAACAAGTTCAACAAGTTCGTCGAATATAGAGTAACAGCTGTGCTTATGCCTGTAGATGAGCTCCTGTTGTAGCCGCCACTAGCAGATGGGCGCCTCATTTAGGTCGAAGCTGTAGCAGTATTGATATCTTCAGCCGAAACAATTGCATGCTTTTCGAAATGGGCATTTCACTGAGCACAACACAATTATATTGCAACAATCGAGAGCTGATAGAGAGCCAAACATTTCAGGGGCAACCAAGGTCACCGAGATCACATGCACCACACGCATCATTACAGAGCGGAGAAAAAAGACCCTGGCTTGTAGTAGACTACAATGGCCTTGGGCTTGCGCATATTGCAAATATAAACTGCGGAATTGTCATAACCATCGTCATCTAGACTTGGGCGCAATCTCGGACTTTTTAAACTGCCTAAAATTGTGATTCAGCTGTAACACGAGGGTCGCATTCATGAAGTCAATATCTGAAGAAAAAAAAACTAGTGCTACGCTGGAGTAAACGCGGTACTTAGCAATAATTATTTTTTTTCAAAGTCGTGTCGTTCTGAACTGAATAAGTGAAATAAAATACAGTGTGCCTAACTCCAGCGACCGGAGATCACGAAACATGAAACAGATCAAAAGTCACGTGCTCTAAATATCCCACGACGTCATCCTCTCAGGTTGTCGCGATGCTACTGACCCCATTGTTTGTGTGGATGTAAACGCTGGTGTGCAGGTATTTACTTGATAAACGACGTTATGTCATGACGTCACTACGTTGCTTTATCGCTTGATCATAGGCAGGGCGATCCCGGACGTTGTGCGGCGACCGGGTGAGCTGCAGAGCAAGAAAAAGAGCAATGGAATGCCCTACTTACATCTAAGCATTTTTTTAGTGTACGGTCAGGCTATGATAGGTCATCGGTGTGCTATTTAGCGTTGACTTGAAGGAGTGTAATTTATTCGACAGCTTCCTTTTGCTGGAGGTCTTGTGTTAAGTGATCCTAACCCCCAAAAATTGCCTGATGAATTGACTCTGGCCAAGCAAGGACTATAAATTACTTGCACTGACGACACCGGAATGACAATGTTGGTGTGCGGAAAAGTTTGAGGTGAAGCGACTGATGTCACGTTGCTGCTCTCAGTACATCGCATGTATGCTGCTTCGTTATTCACGCACAGTGGGCAACAATTTTCCGGAGGTGTATCACTTTGAATGACGTTAGCCACTGGAAAATTTTGCTTTGACGTCTTTGAAGCCGCCATTTTGTAGCTCCCCGTACGTTAAGAAACTGCGTCCACAATGCCACGTGCGAGTTATCAATTGCGTGCTAGTTTGGTTCCTTCATACGGCTAGACTTCAAGGATTTTGATATGCTCTAAACTGTAGTTCAACCACTCCAATGGTCCATCGCAGCATTTGAATACATTTTGCACTACCTCGTAATCGGTAACAATTTGTTCAAGATAGACACTACAGCAATTGGCAGCCTGCAAGAATCATTTCGAAATTACAGCCTCTCATTGTTGTTTTTGTTGCATAGGCGAACCCCAGTACACCTTCAAGGAGATCAAGGTTGGCTACATCTCCTGACGCAAAAGAGTAGCTTCTTGCAGGACCAAAATGCGTGCTCATAGCAATTACTCTGTACACGTAGCAAGACGCTGAAATTTGAGAACTCTTCGAATTGTCCTTAAGCTGACGACTTGCTCACACTTTCTGAAGTTGGCCGGAAACCAGTGATCACGAAGGAATTGATTCTAAGAACATTGCAAACAGGTACCCTTGAAATGAATGAAGTTAGAATGTTAATGTTGCAGACAAGCCGCCAAGTCGCTTACCTGTGCCAACACGGGTAAGCGTGCTAGCACTGCTGAACTTAAGGGGCAGTTGAACAAAGTTCCGACGCAAAGGCTCGCCGCACAGCCATCATAAACGGCAGTGATTCGTGACTTAGCATGCGGAAAACGCCGACATGCCCGAGCATTGAAATTACTCGCACGACCCAAAGAAAACAAATGAAGTGTGTATGCAATCTCATTCTAAGTGCGGCATTTTATAATGGGCTAAGATAAACGCGTGTATACGATTGCTTTCCCATGGCATAGCCAACAGAAAGAGGAAGTTAAAAAACATCGCGCTTGTTATCACTTCATTGACATTGCTGGCAACACATGGTAATAGTGATGGTGCCACTTTTCTAGAGGTGAGGGGTTACAGTGTACTTGGAATGTTTCGCTCAGTAACCAATGCATAAACAAGAAAAAAACATAAAAATTGAAGTCATGCCGATCTGGTAGAGCTCACTGACTCCAAATTGCTCGCACTCAGGGTGCCTCTGAATGGTGGGCGGAGCTGAAAAATCAATATAAGAAAAAAAAAACAGGTGCGCTACTCGCAACCACGCGCTGCAATACATGAGACATCCAAGAGCCCGTTTCTCAAGGTCGTTGCCGGCGTGGCGTACGGATGGCGAAACGGGACGCGTTGCTGGTCACCCGAGGGAAACATAAGTGGCTCATTCTGCCACCGAACATGCACCCGTTAATCGCCATTCGCGATGGAAGTTGGCTGGAACGTTATCATTGCCGTGGTCACCACAGCGGCATGGACAAGTGACGGTAAGCATTGGAAGTTTGGTTGTATTAATCTGAAGGCAAAATGAAAAACACTTAGCGGTCATTAGTCTGCTTTTCAGCCGCAAGATAATTTAGCAGTGTAATATGCCAGAATGCTTTTTTCCCTTTTTATTTCTGAATGCTAATGCGCACGTTATAAGGCTTTGACTTCAGGGAACCAGAACAACTAGGTTGTTTTAGTTTGCCTTTTTTGTGTTTTTGACTATTTAAAATTGATTCATTGGTACAGTTTTTCGAGCTTTCCATGGGAGATTTAATGGGAATCCATGTTCACACGGCGTATGCAACTTTGTCGAAGAACTTCTATACAATAGCCAAACACACTGCCAGCACTAATGGTTAAAATACTGCTTCTTACGTCGAACAAAAGTAGACGCTAAATCATTGAAGCCCGCTCGGGCCGACGAAACATCCTTAAGAGAGTTCACGATTGTGGCTCAAAGTGAATAGCTTCCGTTAGAATCAGCAATAATATCATTGCAGAATCCTTAAGTTTCCTTTGCACTGAGCGTATGCCATGACTCTAATTTATAGTTTTTGTCTTTTATAAATACTTTTATACAATTGCCGCTCCAAGAATTGGCTGTTATAAAATTGTCCTAGCAATGTTTTTTTACCAATACTACACCAACTTCATCATATCTTATCTTGTGTAACCAAATATTTTGTGAATTTTCCGAGAAACGTTGCGAAAGGACGGCAGTTTCTATAAATAAATAAATAAATACGTAAATAAATAAAATAATTTATTAATAAAAAGGTGTGTATACGCCGAATAAATTCAGATCTCTACGGTCGCTGCGTTTTTGTAATTGAAATTTTTCGAATATTTATACACGAAGCAGATGGAGATAACAAAGAGTAGGCATGCTCGGTGCTTTTGCCACCTTTACCGAACTTTGCAGCTGATGCTCTAGTATTAGTGTCATCTTTTGTTTTGTATTTGTTTGAACAAATTTAGCGCACATTTATTCAATAATACCACTCAATCAGTAGGAGGTTTTTTTACCGATGTTACCTGTTCATTCTTATAAACTTGCGGCTACGTATTCTGCGATGCAATAATTGTTCAAGTGACACTCTATTGCGTTGTCTCGGCTGCTATCGTTCTAAGTGCGCAGGTGCTTCAAGTAGCTCGGCACGTACATCCGAGACCTTGCTTGCACGACAGTGTGTTTGCGAGCACAGTTTACTTTGAGACCATGCATGAAGGACTGAAAGTGTAATGATGAGTAATGAGTGTGATGAAGTGTGATGAGTGTAACGAAGCTGTAAATTGGTAATAATCGACGACTTTCCTCCATGTTTGTGTCGCATACGTCCCTTAAGGAGCGCTGTCCACCGCAATCTTGTCTAACCAAACATGAACACGTAAACTTTGCATAGTGCGTATTGGATTTAGAGTTGACATAGCACTGTAAATTGTGCAAATCGCGAGCCCTAGATTTCATTGATTTAAACACGTGACTGCAGCGTGGTACATTTCATAAACATATATTTTCTACAGAAAGAAAGTGCATTAAGGGGTAAAATTATCTTGACGCAAAGAAATGAGCTCACCTTAGTGATGCCACATGGACAGTATTTGACGGGGCGCATTCATTCATGACAAAAAGAAATTGGTGTATAGAAAGAATTGAATGTATAGAAGATGTCGTGGGAACTTTTTACTGCCAGGCACTTCATGTCGTTGGAAATGAAGATATATTTACTGCCAGTTCAAGACACTGTTTTGTCTAACGAAACTTTACTTTTAATTATTCCTTTCCGACTGAGTCACAACTAAAAAGTGTGCTCTTTAAAACAAAGATTTCTTACGATGCACATGTACTGGCACACCTAATGATTTCGCTGAGTAGCAGTGCAGTGAACAAAGTAAGCGGCGAGCACTCCAAGTAGGGTACATTTCTGATGATGCTAAAAAAGAAAAATAAGTACGACAGAAATGATGATATTATGAGTAATTTCTCTGCTTTACAGTGAAAAATTGACCATAACTAGAAAAGGGTTTGATGAGGTTTCTGCACAGACTCCCGAAAATGCTTTAAAATACTAGCCATTGCGATTACGCTTCGTATAAATGGCAATACTTCCCATCATGCTCCTCACTTTCAGCTTTATAAAGTTTAACTTACAACTTCTTGAAATGAAGCCTTATGTACTACGGTGTCCGGCAGGGTACTTTAAAGATTTCGGCCATAAACCGAGCAAAGATTGCTGCCACCTGTTTTCATTGCCGACCATTTATTCTAAGATATTTTTTTAACATTTCAGGTTACTTGATGTAGGCTATCGTTTGAATCTCGTCATGGAAGCTGTGCTTTGCTGAGCTTCATATATGTGTGCTGCATTTATTGCGTGCATAATAGTGATGGTGTTTACGAGAAATATTGACAGCTTTATTTGCAGTAGCACTGGCTATAGAAGGGTATTGGCACGCAGCTGTCTTGAGCATGTAAGTTGAAGTCTGTATTCATGAGAGAAAACGCACGTAACCATACCTTTTTATTTGTGAACAGTGAGAACTGGTGCTATGGCATGTCACACTAACCCCCCCCCCCCTTCCCCCACCACCTCCTCCACAGTGAGTACAGGCTCATGCTAGGACAATCTGCACTAGAACCTAAAGAACAGTAGATATATGTCAATATTTCCAAACGTTGGTTTAACGTGACTGCGTGATAACTTCTGTTAAGTAGTCTTCGCCTGCCATTCGAAAATATCCGGCATGCCGACTATGTCAGCTATAAAATAGCAAATGTTGGCTCAGTTCTTCAACGTTACACTCTGTGTTAAAAGCACCATTTCCGTTTTATCAAAGTTGACAGATTTTTTTCATGTGTTTGCACAGACAACAAGCTCGTTGTGCCTAAATTATTTAGTTTCTTCCGTATATACTAGCATTGCATAAGGACTTTCGCTACTGAAAAGGTATAAGCAGGCCGGGACCAATCGAGTCAAATTTATTTGCTCTTCTCAGTAGACACTACAGATGCCTGATTGGTCGTAGAACCAAAATCAGGCATCATAAAAGTGCGCACTGAGACGATGAAGTCTGTAGCAGACATGCCAGGTGATGACGCCATAGTCGGACAGAATAAGTTATTTGTTTTTGGTAGTGCTATTTGTTTTTCAGCGGTTTATTGTTCGTTTAGGTGACGCAAAGAACGACCGAAGTTTATTTAATGCGAGGAGGAATGTTGGCACTAAAACAAACTACGACACGCGTTTGCGACATGTAAACTGCATGGTCAAAATAAAATTTCGCGTTTCAATGAACACCAAAGAGATGTCCCACCACCTGCGAGGTTTGGCATGACCCCCGACTGCCAGCGGTTGTCTGAAGGCACACTAAAACATTTGAATAAATAGGTATAGATTCATGAATTTTCCACGGTAAATTATAATGTCATTAAGTCCACCCCAAAATGCTAAGTAGTACAGGAGAAAAAGAATGACCGAGTTTTTTTTTAACTTCGCGCCTACATTACTGCACGCGGTATAAGAGACTTCAAAACTTTGATATAGTATGTAGGTTTTGACGACCCGAAACCACCATACGATTATGAGAGTCGCCGTAGTGCAGGGCTCCAGAAATTTCGACCAGCTAGGGTTCTTCAAGCAGCCCCAAAGTCTGAGCACACGGGCCCACAACATTTACGCCTCCATCAAAAAGCCAGCCGCCGCAGCCGGGAATGGATCCCGCGACCTGCGGATCAGCAGCCGAGGACCTTAGCCACTAGACTACTACGGATGGGCAGATTTCGAAACGTATTTTTTGTATTCCGGTGTCTGTAGCCCAAAGAAATTTCGTGAAACTTGGCTTATAAAGTCAGTGACCGCCTCAGAGGTTACAAATGGGGAAATATTGCAAATGTTATAATTCCTCCTTCAAACTATATTGTTTGTCGCCGTTATTTTCTCTCAAAAGCATCAACCAACTTGCCCAAGACGCAACCCTAGCATGCCTCAAAGGGCAATTCCCTTGATTATCATGAATTCAAAATTACCTACAAGATAGATACCGCCAACTCCTATGACGTCACTACGTATAATGCGGGAAATTTAAGGGGGCGTCATCACCGCATTCCTTTTTTTTTTACACTTTCTCTCACTTAGCAAAAGTCTTTCAGCGGTAAGCTTGGAAATTTCAAAATGATGAAAGAGTTTAAAAAAAAGAGTGTTGATGAAAGAGTGTTGATGAAAGAGTGGATAAAAATTGCTTTTTTTCTTTAGAGTCTCTTACGTGTTCTTCAGTTTCAAGTGAAAGCGCGCATTTCGTTTTTTTTTTATTCCCTGCCGTCTCCACAGAAGCGCTGCGCCAATAACTAGACATCAAAACTACCAGCGATATAACACTTAGCTGCGCTACACTGCAGGTGCTAAGTTATATAAAGCTGGTTATCTATAATCTAATCGAGTAGTAATTAAAATGGCAGTTCTATTGCTAGCAGTTACTGTTTTCTGTTTTTTTTTCAGTATCACCCGAGCAGTATCATTTTGGGAAACGCACTTACTGTGGCACCCTTCCCCCCCCCCCCAAAAAGAAACATAGTGGTGGGCAGGAGTGAACATTTTGTAACGTAGCTTCAGTAGACCTCGCTGCAACACCTTGCTTACTACCAAGGCACGTGACCGGACAGTGAGTCGCTGCTGACCTAGTAGGCGTTCTGGAAAACACCGCTCGTCGCGTGAAGAATATTAGGCCACTGAACGTATTCCCCCTCCTGCTTGCAGGCAACTGACTGGAATGTAGCCAAGGGGGTGTGTCGCACGCCCATGCGTGCTTTTCAAACACCGATAAAGCGATAACAGCCCGAATTCCCCACTCTTTCAGTGTGTTTGTTTTATGTTTTTCTGCGCAGGACAGCGCTGCGTGACTCTCCTGTGCGTGCAAATTTCCCCAATGCTTAGTGCACTGTAGTCCACCTTAACACAAATCATATTGAAGAGCTCTCTGCTACTTTATGGCCGAATACTTCTCAACAATTAGAAGTAAACATAATTATAAAAAAATCACCAGGCTTGCACCCAGCGCGCAGCATTGTCGCAGAAAAAGCTGAAAAGGCGGAATTTCAGAGAATTTTTAAAGCTCCTTGGATAGCCGCTGCAAGCAAACTTGCAGGTTACACACTACGCCAATAATATTTGTGTAATAGGCAGGCACTGACTATGTCATCCTTCGTCATTATTCGGAGAAGCGTGATAGCCGCTGAGGATTTCGAAGGAACTTCTTCAATTTTTTATGTTAGGGCGGGACATACGAGAATGGAGAGTTTTGTCAGAAGCTCTTTCAATCCCCACACACCTCCACAGTGTGTACGCGCTGCAGTTAATCAGTGAACAATGTCAAACTTTTTTAAGGGTTGAAGCATTTCACGACCCACTTGTAGCGCAATGTGCATTGTTTGACACCTACTGTTTTTTTTGCTTGTCTTAAACGCTTTCGTACTCATAACGAGATATATTTCCTGACAGACTGCCTCGTTAAGACCAGTTTAGAAAAAGGTCGATCCACCGGCGTGGCTCAGTGGCATGAAAGCCACTGCGGTTTGAATCTCATTTTGTGATTTGTGTTTTTTTTATATACTGAGTTTTTTTCTCAATTCGTGCGATAGTGGTCATGAACACTGGCGGTGGTGGCGGTGAACAACTGCGGCGCCGCATGAGACCTTTATTGTGATCCTATCACTGGTTTCGCTGTAAAAACGTTTACTCATAATGCAACATGTAAACACCCCAATGATGCAGGCATTTTCAGTATACGCAGAGACACATGAGGAGAACTTCAATTGGTTCACTATGAGTAGACGTATTCACAGATGTCCTGTGGGGGGTTACGCATTTAAGGCTAAAGCTGGTTAAACAAGGATTCCAGTAAAATTGTATTTCCCCGCGTTTCAGATCTGTTATGGCAGCCGAGGGCTATTATGAGATCACATGACGCGTCACGCGTGGCGCCGTAGTTGTACGTCGCCGCCGGTTTCCGTAATCACTATCGCAGGATATAAGAACAAAAACTCCGAAAAAACAAACACCAAGGGTACAGTGGAGTTCAAATCGGGGTCCCCTGCGTGCCACTCGAACTCGTTCGCGACCTTGCCTTACGCAGGTTTGATAACGGGAAGGAATGGCGTTATTATGAGTAATAGAGCAGTTTAGAACAGCAAAACAACAACCAGGCAGTAAACAGATACCTGAGCGAGTTAGTATGTACCCGTATTTTTCGCGCCTCTTTCTTGTTTTGTACCTTGTGCTGGAAAAAAAGCTGTCATATGAACAACCAGGCGTCACACAATGCGGCTTGGGTAACGGGTGGATCGTCCAGTGCTCCAAAGCATTACAAAAGCGTGTTTTTCATCACCTATGCTCATAATAACTTCAGGCCTAACTGTTCATCATCGGCAGAATTGGAAAAAAATTTCTTCCAAGTATGTAGGGGATACCACGGTTCTCTGAATGGCGAAAAATATAGCATGGTGCGTGGCAGCCTAATGCACAGTAATTGTGATTATTTGAAGAGTAGTGGGTACCCAGCATGTGTGCTTGTAGCAGTTATCTAAAAAACAAAGTTCAGAAACGGCTCTGCAAGGCCGCTCTTCGAGCTTTCGCTGTGGCTGTGCTGCTCGTTCCGCGCATGCCTGGCATTTTTTTTTAATGAAAACAGTCTGATGTGGACGACATTGCCAATGAACGTAAAAAAGCTACAGTTTAAGGTTAATATGTATGCATAGCTTAAAAACAAGATTTCAGAGACGAATTTTCAATATGCTGCTACGTCCTTCACTGACCTAACTGACTACGAAGACTCAACACAGCCCTGCAGATTCGCATATATGTCTGAAATGATATAAGGTTAGAAACTGACTACAGATATCTTAAAGATATGGTTACAGAAGACAAAAAAGGTGAAAAGAGTGAAATTAATCGCCTGCGCACTCTTTTATTGCAAAAGTGTTTTACTGCATCGAAAATTGTGATTTCGAAGAAAACTTGAATGAACATAGAACTCAGATTTTTGGGACTATTTCAGCACTGTGATTTTCTTTTTTTTTTTTGCGAGCCTAGTGGCCAACTTGTTACCACTGCGTTATAAAGAGGACGCTGATAGCATCCATCCACCTATCCATACAATCATCCGTTCATATATATATTCATCCACCCGTCCGTCTATCCATGCGGAAAATCCTACTCTTCTCCTGTCAGTGCATTATAGTAAAAAAGTGAGTGCATTCCACGGTAATTATTGATGCATAAACGGGACATAAGCCACGTGAAGGCTCCATGTCACGTGTTTGGGGAAACGTTGAGTGTATGCGTAGCTAGTAGCGAAATTGACTTGTCGCTTTTTACATGTCCAACAGACCCAATATTTGGCACAGCATTCGTGGCGTCGAGGCATTACCCTGGTGTCACCACTTCTAAGGAAAACACTGCTGCACGATGGCCGTGGAACGTGGCCATCCACACTAGTTCCAGATTCCGGCCGGAGCAGTTCTGCGGAGGTGCACTCATTACGGATCAACACATCCTCACAGCGGCACACTGCGTAGAGTGAGTGACCCTTTTCGCCTGTTACGTTGCGGTCTACATCAGACGTGTGCCTTGTCACCGCATATAGATTTTATTCGGCTAAGGCGCAGCCAGGCAGCGGTCTGCGGAAGCCTTAGCCCCCTCCCGTCACAACGCTTACGTTTTATGTGTATAATTTGCGTGGTATATATTAGTAGACAGGAAGGCACGCATATACCTGAAAACGAAAAAAAAAAATAAACCCCCCTTCTTCAGGCTATTCCTTTATTGATCAAGAAATAAAAGCACATTTCTTTACAAAGAATCCGCTTCGGAATAACTTTTGTATTATGCGATTGATTACGCTGCCATTATCACAATTTCTATGGAACGAATCAGTAGCACAAATTTTGAGAATTTTCATGAAGCAAATGTCCACAGCAGAATAGTCTCTCTGGCAACAAACTAGCACACACTTGAAAATTTCTATAAAACGAATGCTCCTGCAAGCGTTTTAATGAATATCCAGAAGCATATTATACTTTTTTTTCTTTCATGATCCACCCAAATATTACGAACGCTAAGTTACAGACAGTATTATTCGGAAGTCTATTCGTGTCCCATATTAGCACTTACATGGGCGTTACCAGAGTTAAAAACTGTCCTCATGATCCATGCCCCGTCATAACTCCTTCAGTCTTAGTTTCGAGACAGCCGAAGCGCAGAGTACAAGCCACCAGCGTGCCGACACAAATCTTCCCGCACACAGCGCACCGCACAACATCCGCGGGACGTTCCAGGACACTGTTGAAGCGAAACGAAAAAGGTGAGGCAAAACAAAAACAATCTCAGGCAATGGTAGTGGAGAGTTTGCTCAGCCAAACCAGCAAACCTATATACTGGTAGAGCAGATGGAAAAAACTGCAGCGAAAAAACACTGATGACGTGAGAGAGAGAGGTTTATTCCCAGAAATGCAGACGGGTCGGCCCGAGTGATAGTATGCTCTAGCCTGCCACTCCTGAAGCATAAGCTTGGCGTGCGCATCAGTGCTCTTTCTTTGTCTTCTGTCGAATGCGCCCTTGAAGTGTTCAGGTTTGTTAACAAGCTAACCTGACAACAGAATAGTGAAGCTAACAAAAGCTACATGCACGATGACTATTAGGTGTTCCGCTGTTGTTACCAGCATAGCGTTGGGGGAAAGAAAAAAAAAATATGCCCACATATGCCGTTCCTGACTTTAAACAATCATAGCATATTCACGGAGTGAATGATGAGTGGGGCGAAGCGCTGGAGAGTTTTATCCCTAAATCGTTATCTATCCGCGAATATCGCCCCCTAAATCACCAAAGACGTGACAAACTTTGTATATACTTATATAGGAAATTTTAAATTTTATTATTCGTAAGTGGTAGCTATACGTCGCTTCCGTTCCCCCTCCATTAAAAGGGTCCTGTGGTCGGTGAAGTGGTGAATCGGTGATGGCGTGTAGTGGGTTGTTTGCAAGAATGAAGTAGTGGGCAGTTTGTAAAGGTGGACCTATAGGCGGTCACGTACCTAGATACAAGGGACGGACAGACCCATGCCTTTAGGAACTTCGCCCCTAAAAGGTGAGATTGGTAACGAAATTAAAACATTTGGCAGACGCCTGCCTGATAAGGATAGGAATGAGGATAAGAATGAGCAGACAGCGGGGAACATCAACCGCTCCACGGAGACATTGTCCGCTCTATACAGACAGGGTTCGCGACGGGTCGCGGCAAATCTCTCTCGCAAGGTGAGTAAGCGTATGTAAGCGCCGCACCTATCTGGCTTTCTCTCCTCTCAGGAAGAAGCCGGTCTGGCTTCGAAATGTCCGGTTTAGGAATTTTTTACTTGACTCACATAAATTGGTAAGAAACTATGATATATGACCTAAACTCACACCTATAGCAATCATTCTGTTGGGGAAGAGTATACAGTAAACCGATTCTGACCCTTAAGGGTGCAAAAAGGGTGCCGACACCCTAAGCACACCCTTTGAGCACCCTATTCGCGTCTCAGCACCCTACAAGCGGAACCTAAAGGGTAAACACATCAAAAGGGTGGAAACTAGGGTGCAAAAAGGGTGCAACAACTAATGGGTGCTGATGAGCACCCATTAGGGTGCACAGTCGCCGACAAAGCTTTGTGAGTAACGTGGTCATAGAGCATAACCAACAGCTTTCAGATGTCTAGTGGTTTGACACCATGGTCTCATTAATAGCCCCACCGCAGTAACTGATATCTGAATAGCGATAGTGCCCGGCTGAACGTAAGTTCTGCACTGGTTCTTGCATTCTTGCTGCCTCTTTCTCGTCGCCTCACGGCCGGCGCTGACCAAGCCATGCGCTACAAGCTCACGAGCCAATGGCGGAGTACGCAGCTTGTAGAGCTACAACAGGATTGTGACTTACACATAGCCTCGTTTGCGCCTAACACTGAAAACAAAGCTTCGTCCATGACAGTATGTATAAATCATACATTTGTTGATGCAAAGAAATACAAACCAACAAGACTGTGGTAGATAAAACAGTTTTTGTGTTGTACAAATATTTGTTAACCTTACAATGTATCAGTTGACACGTGTTACCAATTTTTATGGCGGGCTATGGACTTTGACGTTCTAATATTATAACATTAAAGAAACGTTTTCTTGATTTTGTTCATAGAAATATTCTTCAAAGCAAGTTAAAATGAGCCTTGACTAAAACATTTTCCTAAAGAAAATTTACTAAAGACAGCTAATATATTGTTTGCCAACTAATACGCTTATTTTGATGTGACAAATTTTGCTTGCTTCCTGTACTTTGTACTAATATACAACCGCTTTGACACTGTTTTTAACAGCCAGCTTAATCACTCAACCAATGTACAGATGTTAACAAGGTATCGGTATAAGAAATACACAAGCAAGCAAACGTTTCAAATTTCGCGCGCTCTTTCACATTTCAAATTTCGCGCAATTACGCGTAATGTGATTTTGTCATTTTCAAAGGTAAAAAATTTTTTATGCAATACGCACTAGCGTATCTTCTATTTTTACTATTTTTTACTTAAAATTTAAGCAGAAATAGTCTATTTACTTATCATATAAAAAGTTATGTGCGCAAATGCGGATCGGTGGCGTCAGCAGGACAAAAATGGCGGTATCTTCCTGGAGGCCGCAACGGCCGTGTGCCGAGCGTAAAGTCAATTTTTTATGTTGTTCAAAGTGTGCTTGCGCTGTCTTTCGTGTTCTGTCGGTGCTGCTTGTTGCGAAGATGCACTATACTCAAGAGAGGACCGGCTCGGAGAGGACGCCGATTTAGCCCTATAGGGCTAAATCGGCGTCTAAGTATCTTCTTCAAAGAAAACAAAGCTAACAGAGAGGGTGTTTTTATCTGCTAACATTTCCCGTCTTTCCGGCGCTCTTCATGACGTGTGAATGGTGGCTCACGTGATGTGATTACGGTGCATAAGCTCGATGGGTAATATACGAAAAATTTAACATGTGTTTTGTTTCCTATTCTGCTCTAGCAGCCACCCACCCATTCCGCCTTTTTTTTTCACAAGACTATTGTGCACCGTCAACTCATTTCACTTGGTGTTGTGTGCTTCCGACTGCTCTAATTGAGATATTGGCATGTAGACGTTCTGATGAAGCAGCGCTTGACAGAAATATTTCAGCTATTCAACTTATTAGCAGGAAAGGCGTGGGAGATGTCAGTATGTGCCATGCAGCTGCTTTTCAGTGTATGTTTTCTTATTTTCTGAAATTTATAGCCTGCCTGTGCAGAGTAATACTTGCAAAGCAAATAATATGGTCCTAAAGGTAGTCCAAGCGCAATAACCCAAAGTGTGCCTTGGTTTGCCCAGATGTATGTCAACAAAGGCAACAACTGAGATTGCTCATGACCATCTCATGCACACTCACACTACGATCCATGTCCTGAGGACGCACGTCGTACATATCACACGTGCTTCCTTTCGTAACCTTACCACGCTGCCTTCAAACAGGCGTCATGCATCGTTTGCTAAAACTATTGTTAAGTATAACGCCAAACTTTCCTCGGGCTTCAACATGGCGTATAAATCAACGATGCCCCCTTGGTGTCTTGTGCGAGCCACAGTGACTCTAAGTATGCCAGGAATATAGAATAATTTGAGCTGTCGTCCCCTGTGCTGAAGCAACTGCCTCTGCTTCTTTTTTTTTTTTACTAGGCGTATGCGGAAAGTGTACATATTGTCACGACATTAAGCCGAAAGTACAAAAATATATTTACAGAATGTGCATAGAGTTCAGAGTCCTTCAAAGCAGCAACAACACGAGCTGTATTCAAATCATCATCTTCATTGCCTTGACAGAGCATTCTTTGATGTTCATCATGGCTTGCAACAAATAGCCGCCGCTGCTGGAAGCGCCATCTCGGCGCTTTATAAATGGTATGATCCTGCACAGAAAAGTGTGGCTTAAAGCAGTAGATGTGTATAATGTTAATAGATTGCACAAATTACGATGAAGTGTCCAGTGAGGTGATCTTTTAGGTGACCTCGGTTTGCTGGCGCAAGATTTTTTGAGGCAGGAAGTAGCAAGAGAGGAACTCCGACGACAGGCCAACTTGACGGCATCGAATCTAGATCAAGATGAACTATTCTAGGGAGTATGAGACGGCTCAATGGAAGCGGTCGTAGTGATCTTTTAGAAAGAGTTGTGAGCTAGAAAGACAATCCCGCGCAATCCGGCGGGCTATTATGACTCCAGGATAGTTGCATCGTGAGCGTACTTGGTAGGAGCATACGTACCAGACGGCAGAAAAGTGTCGAAAGGCCAAGTAGGACGGCGATCGTACAAGAGATAGAATAGGGAAAGCCTGCGATGTCTTGAGGTGATGAGTTGTAGGCGAACGTCACGCAAGGCAAAGTGGAATACCAATCACGGTGATCTTCAGAGACATAGATGAGTAGTATTGCCGTCAGTGTTTGGTTGAAGCGCTCATTGAGTCCATTTGTTTGCAGGTGGTAGACAGCGGTGAGTTTATGATGT